CAAATAACTGACTAAAGAATAAACAATCCTTGGCTCACAAGTGGTATACTCAAAGCAATCAACAAGAAACATGAATATGAAAAAACTTAGGATTGGCCTAGTTACAAAGGAAGTAGTTAAAAGTACTCATCAATGCTTACCAGTATCATAAGAAAAGAAAAACTTTCCTATTATGAGAGTAGATTCAAAGAAGCAAAAGGCAACATTAAAATCCTGTGGAAAGCCATCTCTAACATCCTAGGAACTAAATAACACTCATATAACCAGATAAAACTCTCAAAGGATGGTTATACACTTGCAACTAATTTAGAAACGGCAAATGAATTTAATAGCTTCTCTTCATCGGTTGGTGCTAACCTTACCAGTAAAATCCCTCAGTCTCAGACACATGTTACCACATATCTCTCAGGTAGCTATTCAAACTCTTTTCCTTTCACCAGTCAGCCCGACAGATGCTGTGTCCATTATACACTCACTAAAAACCAAAGCTGGGAACATTAGTAAAATACCATTCATCGTATACAAGAGTACCTCCCATGCCCTTGCGCCACCCATTGCTCTGCTGTTCAACAACTCTCTAGTGTCATACCTTCTCTGATGAAGTGGGTTTCCAGGGTTATGGGTCTTGATATTTCCATAGGCATACCCAGGTTTGTATTCCCCAACAACCTTTGGCAGGTGGAGTCCGGATTCCCCAAACTTTGGGGAATACAAACCTGGGTATGTATTTGGAAATGTCAAGACCCACAAGCCTGGAAACCCGCTTCGGCCAATCATCAGCCAGATACCCACACCGACATACAGACTAGCTAAGCGACTCAACGGGTTGCTGACTCCTTACGTACCTTGTGCTTTCAACCTGAAGTCTCCCAAGGAATTTGTCAAATTACTGAGGGGAGCACGGGCCACGGGGATAAGAGCCTCATTGGATGTAGAGTCACTATTTATCAACGTACCTGTGGACGAAACAATCGGGATGATAGCAGACAGAGTGTATCGTGACCCGGCTTGCACTCCTCTTGACATGCCAGAAAGCATACTGAGGAAACTACTCCAAGCCTGCACTTAAGAGACACCCTTCTTGAGCCCAGATGAGCACATGTATAACCAAGTAGATGGGGTCGCCATGGGTTCTCCCGTAAGTGTCCTGTTTGCGAATTTCTACATAGGCACCATCGAGCAGAGGGTCTTAGTTGACATGGACTTGAGACCCGCCATATACTGCAGGTATGTTACCTTACCTTAAGGTTACCTTGAGGTGCTTCCGGGGCTTAGCGTCCCCGCGGCCCGGTCGTCGACCAGGCCTCCTGGTTGCTGGACTGATCAACCAGGCTGTTGGACGCGGCTGCTCGCAGCCTGACATATGAGTCGATACCATACCTGGTTGATCAGGTATCCTTTGGAGGTGCTTATCCAGTTCTCTCTTGAACACTGTGAGGGGATTGCCAGTTATGCCCCTTATGTGTAGCGGAAGCGAGTTGAACAGTCTCGGGCCTCTGATGTTGATAGAATTCTCTCTCAGAGTACCTGATGCACCTCCGCTTTTTAACGGGGGTATTCTGCACATCCTGCCATGTCTTCTGGTCTCATGTGATGTTATTTCTGTGTGCAGGTTTGGGACCAGCCCCTCTAATATTTTCCACGTGTAAATTATTATGTATCTCTCCCGCCTGCGCTCAAGGGAGTACAGATTTAGGCTCTTTAGTCGGTCCCAATAGTTTAGATGTTTTACTGAGTGGATTCTAGCAGTGAAGGATCTCTGCACGCTCTCCAGGTCAGCAATTTCTCCAGCTTTGAAAGGGGCTGTCATTGTGCAGCAGTACTCCACTCTAGAGAGCACAAGCGTTTTGAAAAGTGTCATCATCGATGTTGACGACAATTTTACACAGGTACCTTTCCCAACTTCCACATAATATTCCTGTCAACCTTTGGAGAACGGTGAGGTGTTGCCCGAGCATATAAGCAGCAGAGTAGCGAATAATAACTCACGGGAGACATCTCCCGTCACGCAGGGTGCTGTCGCACCTCCACAGATCTCCAGTATCATCTATTGATACTGGTGATGGCTCAAAAGGGCCACCACTTACGAGCTATTCATGCCCGTGCCACCTTTTGGGTGGCTTCATCTTCATCTTAACTCATTCACAAGGGAGACATCTCCCGTCATGCAGGGTGCATTCGCACCTCCACAGATCTCCAGTATCAGCTCTTGATACTGGTAATGGCTTAAAAGGGCCACCACTTACGGGCTATTCATGCCCGTGCCACCTTTTGGGTGGCTTAATCTTCATCAATCATCAATCGAATAATAACTAGTCTACTTTCAAGTGTGGTCTAGAACAGACACTTGCGAGATACTGTATCGACTCTCAGTGCGCTCAACTCACACCATTGCTCGCCAAAATATCACCTGCATACTTCTGTATACTCGACCAAATATATATATTCTCTTAGTGTTTGTGTTTATTGTCACCATACTTTATGTAACAATAGAACCGTTACATACCTATGTATGTTACAGTATAACATTGACACTTTAGTAGTAGGATAGGCTGCAGGGCAGCTTGTGTCCAGGACTGTTGAAGAGGAGAGTGTGTGTGGACGTTCGTGGCAGTTGGAGAGGAGGTGGCCGACGTCGACGAAGCGGCCCCCTGTGAGAGGGTGTGTGGGCCCCTTTTAAATCTGTTAGATTTCTGTTATTTGTTAGATTAAGGACCTGCCCGAAACGCTGCGCGTACTAGTGGCTTTACAAGAGTGTAATTACTGTACTATGCTATGTATTCTCATAAACCCAATGTACCTTCTTGTATATAAGTAAATAAATAAGTAAATAAATAAATCTGCCCAGCTGAAGTAGTTGTCGGAGGTCATGAAAGAAGAGTTACTGACGATCTCCAGTTTGTTTATTCTTTATTTCCATTCCTGTATTGATATTAATTGTACATGTGATCATGTAGTTTATGTCAGTAAATATCACATCTTTTATCATGGTGTTAAAGTGCGCCTCCATAATAATCGCTATGAGCACACACGAGAGATATCAGAGTCCCACCTAGTAAACATCATGTTTTCTACAGAAGTTCCTTAGTGACTGGAGAGTGGTGGAGCAGCACAGACTTATGTAAAATTGTACCCTAGTCTATCCGTCCAGTATCAGAACCGAAATGGTAGCATCAGATTGATTGATTGATAAAGATTAAGCCACCCAAGAGGTGGCACGGGCATGAATAGCCCGTAAGTGGTACAATTTTTTTTCTCAGTATTCTGAGGTTGCTTTTAACCATCAAGCTGTTATCGCGGGGGAGGATACTGCTTCACAGTCTTTATGAGGGTGTCCAGCTGCTGGACACCTTTGTTGACCAGGGTAGAATCACTTTGGCAACAAGCAATATAGTGACTGGAGAGTAGTGACGTGACGGAAATTGCGAGAGTGGCATTTTCGGTATGCGCGGTGACGTCGAGACGGGGCGTCACGGAAGATGATGTGAGCGGATCCGGTCACACCGAGGAGAACATGCCGGATGACTTGGGGATCGATCATTTGTTCCGAGAAAAGGCCAGAGGACAAGCGACAGGTGAGGAAGAGTCGGATAGGAGTATCCAGGTCACTTTCACCAGTCCTCTAGGTATTGACAGCGCCCGTCTAGGTGAGCTGCCAAAGGAAGAGTTTCCGGAGTTGGCACAGGAGGCGGAATGAGGTCTCGCCGGACTGTTGAAGAGGAGAGTGTGTGTGGACGTTCGTGGCAGTTGGAGAGGAGGTGGCCGACGTCGACGAAGCGGCCCCCTGTGAGAGGGTGTGTGGCCCCCTATTAAATCTGCCCAGCTGAAGGAGTTGTCAGAGGACATGAAAGAAGAGTTGCTGACGATCTCCAGTTTGTTTGTTCTTTACTAGCAGTACCCGGCCACGCTTTGCTGTGGCTCAGCAACGCATGTTCTTCATGCAACCTTCCCTGTCCCCCAGTCCTCCCCACCATTCCCCCCCTCACTCGTCTCCTCTGCCTCCCAAACATTCCTCACTCCATTGTCCTCTCATCCTCCCCGCCATTCCGACCTCCACCATTCCCTTTTTCTTCCCACCATGCCCCTGTCCCTTTGTCCTCCCCACCATTCTCCATTCCCCTTTTCCTTCGTCCCTACCATCCAAAACTCCTCCGTCCCCTCGTCCTTCCCCACCATTACCCCCTCCCTTGTCCCCTCGTCTTCCCCACCATCTCTCACTTCCGTCCCCTCGTCATCCCCATTCCCTCGTCCGATGCCTTCCCAAATGGTCTGATGTTCCCATCAGAAAATTGGGAACATCAAGAGATCTGATGTTCCCATCAGTGAAATATAATAAAAGCAGTTAAAAAATGAAATGAAAATATGAAAAAACTATACTCGCGAAATGAACGGTATGGTAAACAACACAGCTCAATTTCAATGCAATTCACACAAAATAATTAAATCAAAATGAAAATAAATAAAAATCTATGAAAATTTAATTTATCAATACAATCAGAAACATTGAAATGGAATTGTAACATGTTTAGTATGTCATGTGTGTTGCTCTTACATGCAACAGATGGCATGAATATTACCAAAGGCCAAGATATTACATCAGTTTAAAACCCAAATAGAAACAAATTCTCAGGAGCAATGGTGGAACCTTTGACAAGATGCCAGCTTCCTGTCCCCTTCGAGGCAACTAGCGAGTTGCTGTTGTTGTTTTAGATTTAGCTACTCAGAACGAAGTGTCCATGTAGCACGGGCTATAGTGAGCCCGTAACTGAGTTCGGTTATTCGTGATAACCTTTGACCCAGTGATATTTGGGTCAAAGTTTTAAGTGGAAGTGGGGGGTTTCCTCCTTTTTCCCCCTGTTTCTTTTTTCGCTTTTGTTTTAGTGCACTGGTTTTAGTCTTGTTTTAATAACATTATCTTGGTGGCGGATGTAGGTGCAGAATGTTCACTAGTGAGTCCCATTCTCTAACGGCTTTTCTGATCATTGTAGTCGCGGTGGAATGTGCATCTAATGCAGCTGCTGTCGTTGGGTTAATGTTGAGTTTGATGGGCAGGACTTTAGTAGCTTCACATTCCAGTAAGTAGTGCAGTAGTGGTGCCTTTGCTCCTGTTCCACAGATATAACATTCTTTAACTATTGGGTTTATTTCCTCCCAGCAGCACTTGTAACCAAGTCTGAGTCTGGCTACTGCAATGTCTCTGAATATCTTTTTGTCAGGCTTGAAAGAGTAGCATCCAGTGGCTTGTTCGTATCATATCACCGTGGATCTTCCTTCCGCTACTTTGGCTCTTTGGCCACTAGTGAGATAGTAGCTCTCAGATATATTCAGGTAAACTACTAATGACTTCATTCCTGCCCGAAACGCTATGCCTGTTAATGGCACATGCCTTCGTAAGAAGAACAATGTTATGTACTCTCACAAACACAATGTACCTTCTTGTATATAAACAAATAAATAAATAAGTAAATAAATAAAATCCATCTCCCAGAAAGCATGCAATGTGCATCACACTGCATATATTAATTTTAAAAACTCCTAATTGAACACTCTCTGACCTCAGGAGACTTCTCATCAGACCACCAGGACACTCACTGACCTTAGGACACGTGGCACCAGGACACACAAACTGACCTTAGGACATGACCTGACCTCAGAACACAGCGCCAGGACACACACTGACCTCAGGACACACACTGACCTCAGGATATGTAGCACCAGGACACTCACTTAGAATTCATTGTTTTCTTTATATATATATAAGAATTCTTGCACTCTTGTACAGCCACCAGCATGCATAGCGTTTCGGGCAAGTCCTTAATCTTATGTTCCCTGGAATACGACCCGCCAAATCGTTTAACAACCAGGTACACATTTTACTGTTGGGTAAGCAGAGGCGACAGTTAAGGATTAACACTCAGTAAATCCTCCCTGGCCAGGATACGAACCCAGGACAGAGCGATCGTGAAACGCCAAACGCGTGTTTTAATTACCACTTCACCATGAGGACTGCATGGAGAAGGCGTTGTTCATACGAGACACTTGGACAATCCGGCCGTGACCGTCGTCACAGGAAATATGGCTACACAGACCGTTCCATGACAAATGCGGGATTGTCGTGAGAAGCTAATTGTTGTTGGTCTCGCTCACAGGCTTCACTTGTCATCTTCGACTCCTTTCCCGGGTCTACTGGCGAGTTTTTGTTGTATCTCTTAATCAACATGAAGAAAATTATGGTGTTGACGGACATGAGACAAGCATAGAAGAAGGCTTCGTGAGAGGCCCGGTGCTTGAAGGCCCCCGTGGCAGAGCTCAGGCTTGTTAGTCCTGCAAAGAGCCACAAACCGGCAGTAATTGTGAAGAGATTGGCTGCCTGTAGTGAAGACTTCATGGCCATCGGGGCCTGCGAGTAAGCAAAGTCCATGCCAGAGACTGAGAAGAGGACCTCGCCGATGGTGATGAGGACGTACTGGGGAAGGAGCCATAACATGTGGACGTTTGCAGGGGCCGTCATGGGGAAGAGGAAGACGTCGGTGGTGGTGATGACGATGTCGTACACACCGTCCTGGTACACTGCAGCCTCCCCAACTTCCACCTCTTCCACCATCACCTTGTACTCCTGGGGACTGATGCGCTGGAACTCCGTCTTTCCCTCCAGGAGCTGGAAGTTGTGGAGGATGGTGTCGTACGTGAGCGTCACGTTGAGCTCGTTGTGCGCAGGCGCCAACACCCGCACCTGTCAGGGCGAACCAACACAACTGAACAACACCAGGAAATCAGGCCCTAAATTTTACTGAATATTTATTTCTTAGGCACCATCAGAATAATAATAATAATAATAATAATATTAATAATAATAATAATAATAATAACACCAATAATAATAACACCAATAAAGACCAGTGTCACTTCTTTATTACTCAAAGCTATGCTAATAATGTTTTAACAGGTTTATATCAGAATGGCAAAATGTTGAAAAAATAATTCATATCTATTATTTTACGCACCACTACCCACCTGTTATTGAGTTTATTGAAGTATCCTATTGTTAAATTGGCGTCAAAGTAACTCAGTTAATGAGACACTTTCCAGTTGTTAGTTCCATGGAACAATTAGCTGCTGACTATAGAAATTACTCTCTATAGTCTTTGTCGATGTCAGCATAGTGCCTTTTATACATAAGAAACAGAGCAGAAATGATTGGTTACGGAGACTCACTTTGGTCTCTGCATCTTCGTCCTTGATGTACTCGAGTGTGGGAGGGAGAGCCAGCACGCCAGTGGAGGTGACAAGGAGTGTTGTCTCATGGGCACCCAGCACCCTCACTCTCACCTGCCTCATGTCTGGGGAGAGGCAGGAGGCTGTCACCTTGGCCTCCACCTCATCACCATGTGTGACAGTCAAGCCAGGCAGAACCACCTGGCCTCCGCTCTCCACACTCAGCTGACCGGTCTTGACGAAGGGCACCTCCACCACCATCTGGCAAGGCAGTGCGTTGTAAACGTGGATTCTCGCCTGCTCTGGAGGAATGAAAGTCTGTTCCACGCTCATGTTCACCAGTGCGTAGACCAGGAAGGCGATGATGGTGAAGCACATCCCCGCGATCATCCGGGATGTGGTCTTGGTGAGGACGCCAACGCGGGTCAACAAAGGGTAGACCACAAAATCAAAGAGCGGAATGAGAGCTAAAATGAGCAGTGGGTTGGCAGTGGAAGACATCTCTGGCGGGATCCTATAGCTGCCCACCATACCGTCGAGACGTTTGGCCTGGAATATCATACCAGTGGAGGTCTGATAGAAGAGAGCCCAGAAGAGCGGGAAGGTGCAGAACAGCAGAAGAACACGCAATGTCACCTTCACGTCCAGCAGCAACTGAGAATCAAATTTGTCCTGAGCACGGTCAAGCCAGTGCTGCACAGGCTTTCGGTCCTTATCCCAGGTCTTAGTGACTGCATGTGCAATGCATCGAACTGCTCTTATTATCATTTTGTCTGGGGGCCCCTCCTTGTACTGCGACCGTCCTGTAAAATTACAAGCACATAACGACTAGTAGGTATCCATCATTGCCTGATTAAACAAAAAAAGACACTCCTATGCCCCCGGTGCCACCTCCCCAACAATAAACAAAATTTCATAGCTTATATAGTAGAACAAACGACCTTTAGACACAACTATCACTACACACAGAATTACATATGATCTTTATTTACCACTTCTTTTATTCCGCAACATCTTCAAATGCAAAATCATCACCCCAGTTTACAACTGTTATTATGATCACAGACCCACAGTACAGTAGTGCCCAGAAGAGCCTTGACATGACACACTACAGTAGTGCCCAGAGGAGCCTGTACCTGACACACTACAGTAGTGCCCAGAGGAGCCTGTACCTGACACACTATAGTAGTGCCCAGAGGAGCCTGTACCTGACACATTACAGTAGTGCCCAGAGGAGCCTGTACCTGACACACTACAGTAGTGCCCAGAGGAGCTTGTACCTGACATACTACAGTAGTGCCCAGAGGAGCCTGTACCTGACACACTACAGTAGTGCCCAGAGGAGCTTGTACCTGACATACTGCAGTAGTGCCCAGAGGAGCCTGTACCTGACACACTACAGTAGTGCCCAGAGGAGCCTGTACCTGACACATTACAGTAGTGCCCAGAGGAGCCTGTACCTGACACACTACAATAGTGCCCAGAGGAGCCTGTACCTGACACACTACAGTAGTGCCCAGAGGAGTCTGTACCTGACACACTACAGTAGTGCCCAGAGGAGCCTGTACCTGAAACACTACAGTAGTGCCCAGAGGAGCCTGTACCTGACACACTACAGTAGTGCCCAGAGGAGCCTGTACCTGAAACACTACAGTAGTGCCCAGAGGAGCCTGTACCTGACACACTACAATAGTGCCCAGAGGAGCCTGTACCTGACACATTACAGTAGTGCCCAGAGGAGCCTGTACCTGACACACTACAGTAGTGCCCAGAGGAGCCTGTACCTGACACATTACAGTAGTGCCCAGAGGAGCCTGTACCTGACACACTACAGTAGTGCCCAGAGGAGCCTGTACCTGACACATTACAGTAGTGCCCAGAGGAGCCTGTACCTGACACACTACAATAGTGCCCAGAGGAGCCTGTACCTGACACACTACAGTAGTGCCCAGAGGAGTCTGTACCTGACACACTACAGTAGTGCCCAGAGGAGCCTGTACCTGAAACACTACAGTAGTGCCCAGAGGAGCCTGTACCTGACACACTACAGTAGTGCCCAGAGGAGCCTGTACCTGAAACACTACAGTAGTGCCCAGAGGAGCCTGTACCTGACACACTACAATAGTGCCCAGAGGAGCCTGTACCTGAAACACTACAGTAGTGCCCAGAGGAGCCTGTACCTGACACACTACAGTAGTGCCCAGAGGAATCTGTACCTGACACACTACAGTAGTGCCCAGAAGAGCCTGTACCTGACACACTACAGTAGTGCCCAGAGGAGCTTGTACCTGACACACTACAGTAGTGCCCAGAGGAGCCTGTACCTGACACACTACAGTAGTGCCCAGAGGAGCCAGTACCTGACACACTACAGTAGTGCCCAGAGGAATCTGTACCTGACACACTACAGTAGTGCCCAGAGGAATCTGTACCTGACACACTACAGTAGTGCCCAGAGGAGCCTGTACCTGACACACTACAGTAGTGCCCAGAGGAGTCTGTACCTGACACATTACAGTAGTGCCCAGAGGAGCCTGTACCTGACACACTACAGTAGTGCCCAGAGGAGCCTGTACCTGACACACTACAGTAGTGCCCAGAGGAGCTTGTACCTGACACACTACAGTAGTGCCCAGAGGAGCTTGTACCTGACACACTACAGTAGTGCCCAGAGGAGTCTGTACCTGACACATTACAGTAGTGCCCAGAGGAGCCTGTACCTGACACACTACAGTAGTGCCCAGAGGAGCCTGTACCTGACACATTACAGTAGTGCCCAGAGGAGCCTGTACCTGACACACTACAATAGTGCCCAGAGGAGCTTGTACCTGACACACTACAGTAGTGCCCAGAGGAGCCTGTACCTGACACATTACAGTAGTGCCCAGAGGAGCCTGTACCTGACACATTACAGTAGTGCCCAGAGGAGCCTGTACCTGACACACTACAGTAGTGCCCAGAGGAGCCTGTACCTGACACACTACAGTAGTGCCCAGAGGAGCCTGTACCTGACACACTACAGTAGTGCCCAGAGGAGCCTGTACCTGACACACTACAGTAGTGCCCAGAGGAGCCTGTACCTGACACACTACAGTAGTGCCCAGAGGAGCCTGTACCTGACACACTACAGTAGTGCCCAGAGGAGCCTGTACCTGACACACTACAGTAGTACCCAGAGGAGCCTGTACCTGACACACTACAGTAGTGCCCAGAGGAGCCTGTACCTGACACACTACAGTAGTGCCCAGAGGAGCCTGTACCTGACACACTACAGTAGTGCCCAGAGGAGTCTGTACCTGACACACTACAGTAGTGCCCAGAGGAATCTGTTGTTGTACCCAGATTTTAGTAGGAATAAATTTAGAAAGCTCTCTCTTAGAGTGCAGCAGCAGAAATTGTGAATGATGTATGAATGACCCTCTGTCGGAGTCATCTTGTTTGTGAAGACATCTGGTACACCAGGATGTCGGTACCGTTCAAACAAGCATCAGCTACACGTCATTATTGTCTGAGTGTCGCCAGTCTGTGAACCAGGCGGCTCCTCTGTTCTGGCCAATGCTCTGAAAGAGGTTATGTTATACATCCTAGCTAATCCTTCACCAATCTCTCACTTTGCTCTCTTCCCGCCAAATCCCACTACTGCCACCAAATGTTGTAACTCGTATGTAAATGTATCTCAATATTATTTCATAATATATTCAAGTTATATTAATCACATATATGTCATTAGCATGACACAAGCCCTCTACAACGAGGCTACTGCATTGGCAGGGAACACAAAGGTTAATGATAAAAACACAGCTAGTATCAAATCTATACATTCACAAATATGTTATATCTTGCACTGACTGGACACCCAGCTGGATCCCTTCACGATTGAATCATCAAATTTGTATTAAAAGAGTCTATGGTGTCATCTTGAAAATACATAAACCAATAATAAAAATTGTTTAAATATTATTATCCTAGAGGACTGACCAGCAGCGAAGATGACGGTGGAGACAACCATGAGGCCGGCCATTATAATGTAGGAGAGGAAGTAGCAGTCATCACCGAAGCACTGGACAGAGTCTCGTATTTGAGCTGTTATGAATAGCCCGACGAAGGTGCCAGCGTTGATCATCCAGTAGAAGGCGTAAAAGAACCTGCAACAGAAATGACAAGTTGACAACTTGTCATTTCATTCATTTTCACTTGTCTTAGCATTCAACTTGTCAACAACGACAAGTTGAATGCTAAGATGACAACTTACCAGTTTTCTGGTTTATGTGCAAAAACGAACTAATTACTCCATCTAACACGTCATCGAGAGCAGGAATGTTTTGTCTTTCATAACTACTTGACCATTTCAACAAAATTACAAAGTATTATTGAAGCAAACTAAAATGCACACGTCTTATACACAGATTTTGCTAAATATGACCATGGAGTAGGAGCCATGATCCTTCTTCCATAGTTTTCCATCGTCAAGCATTAAGTCCTTGTTAACGCTTTCCTCAGCGAGTCTGTTCGGGAACTTGGCTGCAACTTTTTAATTGCACTTCCTACCGTGTATAGCAAGGACAAATATCAGCCACACTACAAACCCATCTAACTCCTTTACAAAACCCACCAACCTATGAACTCCCTCTTCCCAGCCTTCCACACCCATCAATATCCCCAATTCACCCTGATGAACCTCCCCCACTTTAACATACCTCTTCTGTTGCTCCCGTTGTTCTGGGACTTTGAACTGGTCGGCCCCGAGGGAGGAGTACACAGCTTTCATGAGCCCTGCGCAGACGCCCAGCGCGAGCATGCCCAAGACTCCTGTAAATTTGGAGGCGCTGAAGGAGGCCATGATGGGAGTGACCGAAGAGAGGGTAAAGATGGCGGCGCCCACTGTGTACCCGCAGCACATCAGAAACACTGTGCGAGCCTGTATGAGGAAGGTGATAGAGGCTAAGAGGTGGTGAAGAGGTACAGAGAGCATGAAAGTTACAGGTAGCTCGATCGAGTCACATTCAGCTTGGAAGATACTAGTATATACAGATAACAGAACCTATAATAATCCTCAACTTAATTATCTGCTAAAGTCAGACAACTTATAGGTTCTAGATTATTTATTTATTTATTTATTATTTATTTATTTATATACAAAAAGGTACATTAGGTTTGTACCTAGAATCCAGAGAAAAGTACGTACAAGACATAATAGATTACATCACTCAGTGTCAGGAGGCTGAAGACAAGTTCATCCCGGCCCAAAAGGAAAACAATGAAAAGCAAAAGAGGAATCCGTGGTTCAATCAGGTATGTAGGGAAGCTAAGCAATTAAATTTAAAGGCATGTATAAACCACAGAAATAACAGGACACCAGAGAGCACGGGCAGATACCAGAAGGCCAGAAATGAGTACTTCAGTGTGAGTAAAGAAGAAGACAGTATCAAAATGGCATAGCAAATTTAAGCCAAGACCCAACCAAATATGCTCCAGACCTCCATCAAGAGGGAAATAACAATACAAGATCAAGTGATGAAACTGAGAAGGGTGTTAGCATGATCGCTGTCTAATAACAGTCCTTTCCGGCATCAAGAGTAATTTTTACCCACCAATAAAGATCGCAGACGGCCCAAGCTGTAATTGAAGTTAAAAAGGAACAAGTATTAAACACAATCTTGCATAATATTTGGCTGTAAAGGCATACATTGTGCCAGATTGCGAAATAAAATGTTATCCGGGCGGGCAGCGACGCATCCAGGACCTTTTGGAATCCAGCGATGCATTCCTTAGGCTCACACAAGAGAGGTGAGTGGTCGTGGCTGAGGTGCTTGGCCAATCAGCGACAAACTTTCTGTGACGTCATCAGCAGGCACCGAGCCCGCTCCAGTGAGTGAAGCAATTCTCACTGTTCAACTAGATTCCAAATGGGAAGGTCATGATTTTAGGTGCTCTCGGGAAAATGACAGATTTCAATCTTAACTGGCGAGTTGAGCCCGGTGGAGAGGCAACAGGACTTCCGACCTTTCAGGAAGAAGGTAGGAAAAAGTACTGTCGATGAAGGGACCTGCTGAGTGTGCAAGGCATTCGATAGCATGCTGGGTTCAGTGAGGGGAAACTGCAAGTACCTTCATTTGGACCTAGGTGGGTCAACGCGAATGGACTGACCATTGAAGTCTATATAGTGAGTTCCGAACACCGGGACTCACTTAAGAAGTAGTTACAACCCCAGCGTGTGTGAATCCATAAGGAATAGCCGCTGAAGAGGCTGGTGAAGACACGATCAAGGTCATGGTAAGCAAGTGCTCCTTTGATTTTCGCCTGTGAAGAAGCAATTTGAATGTTGACTGTGACCCGAGAAAGGGAGTGTTTTATTTAACTTATCAAGACAGTGAATATTGTGAACAGACAGTGACGGCGCCCAGTATCTAAACTGACCCAACAAGTGAAGTCGGCCATCGTAATTTCTTCTATGGAAGTGAATCAGTGCACTGGGCATTGACACAAGGCTACCAGGAGAAGGTACATCTCGCAGAGCAACGAAGGTCAGGGAAGATCCAGTGTTGATACCTGCGTTGGATGCCCCACAAAACGCGCTTCCCTGGTGCGTCGAGAGGATCGGCGCCACATCTGCATTACCCAAAGAAGGACGAGGATATGTGTGACGCCAGGGAACAGCGAGAATATGGTGATGGGACTTCAATGAGCTGGCGACAAACGGAAGCTACAAAACACTGGAGATCCCATCGTTTCCTAGCTAAGTAATCTGCCCTCCCCCTCCTCCGCTTTTGTCGATTTGGCGTTCCGAAGGGAACTTGTAGGAATTTCGTTATTATATATATATGTATACTCATGTGGTAGGATACATTGAGACTATACATATGGATAGAGTAACGTTAGTATTATTGACGGTCGAGAGCGACCGCTGATTGCAGGCTTGATTGAGGCTATCCAGACAAGTTATAGTTTATTTGTTGTATTTATCTTTTGTCAGTAAATATTTTTTTAGTTTTAAATGCTGTGTTTATACGAGCCTTCATTACAGTTATGCCACGTTATATATATATGAGAAAGCGTAACAGTAGGTTATAAACTACTGGGTACAGGAATAAAGATTAAATGAAATCGGGGAAAGTAGATTCATGTTCAAGAGGACTAGACTAGAGAATTAAATTCATTTCTTCCGGGCAGGACGCAGGTGAGAACCCCGATGGTTACAGGAATAGCTGGATAACCAGGTGTCCGAGGTAGACACCTGCCACTCTTTGGCACCTGCCGCTCTACCTCCCACCCTCTGGGAACAGGAAGTAGCCTAGTGAGTCCCCAGAGGTGCTGCGAGGTCCCTGTGGTTTTGGGGCTGGTGTACACAGGGGTTAAGCGCCGACTTCATCATGAGGGAAAGGAAGTACATGACCGACAGTAAGGATACTGTAAAAAGAGCAGTGACGGTGTGTCACTGGTGAAGCTCAACGAGGCTCTGCCCTTCTTTTTCCCCCGTGGCAACAGGTACACAGAGAATGAGAAAGTTTGTGAAGAATTCAACGAGATTCCAGGAGGTCTTCTCAATAGAGCAAGGCAAAGTCCCTTAATTGAGAGGAGTTGAAATTACCAGTGATGAAGTTAGGAGGTATCCACTGGAATTGGACGTGACAAAGATTGTTGGACCTGACGGAATCTCACCACGGATGCTAAAAAGAGCGCTATGCATGCCATTCTATGGAGTACTTTTGGTCACTGGAAACAGGAGACCTATCAATATGGAAGACAGCTAAAGTAGTCCCAATATCCAAAATAGTATCAAGCAGGAGGCACTGAACTACAGGCCAGTGTCCCTAACTTGTATGCCATTCAAGGTGAATGAGAAATCACGAGAAAATATTAGTAGCACATCTGGAGAGAAGGGACTTTGCAATACTACTAACATGGGTTCAGGAATGGTAAATCACAGATTTAATAGAATTCTATGACCAGGCGACAAAAATTAAGCAAGAAAGATAAGTATCGGCAGACTGCATTTTCTTGGGATGTCAGAGAGCCTTTGACACAGTACTGCATAAGAGGCTCATGTATAATTTGGGGAAACCTGCAGGAGTAACAGGCATGATGCTCCAGTGGATAAGGGAGTACCTAAGCAACAGAAAACGACAAGTTATTGTGAGGGGGGAGATCTCAGAATGACGAGATGTACCATAGCAGTCCCACAGGGTTCTGCACTCGGACCTACTCCGTTTCTGATATACGTAAACGATCTTCCACAGGAAATCTACTCATTCCTCTCAATGTTTGCTGTTGATGCTAAAATTATGAGAAGGATTAAGCCAGGGAAAGACAGTAAAAGACTACAAGTTGACCTGGACAAACTGGAGGAAGGGTTATCTTGAGATGATTTCGAGGCTTAGCGTCCCCGCGGCCCGGTCCTCGACCAGGCCTCCTTTTTGTTACACACCCCCAAGAAGCAGCCCGTAGCAGCTGTCTAACTCCCAAATACTTATTTACTGCTGGTAAAAGGGGCATCAGGGTGAAAGAAACTTTTTGCCCATTTGTCTCTGCCTCCATTACTGACCGAACCCGGAACCTCAGGACAACGAGTCCGAAGCGCTGTCCACTCAGCTGTCAGGCGCCGTGACATTGGTCATTGTCCAACAAATGGGTACTATAGTGCATTAGGTGAAGGGAGCAAAAGCTAGGCTGGGCACAATGTACCTTCCAGTGATTTAGGGGAAATATGATTACCTTATACAAAATTCTCAAAGGAATTGACGGAAAGATAAGCCTAAGACAATCTATTAACATGGCTGGTACATGAAAAAGGGACACAGGTTGAAACTTAGTTACTTAGAACGTAAATGATCCAAAGAGATATTAGAAAAATAATCAGTATCAGAGCAATTAACAAAGTAAATGCATTAGGAAGAGATGAGGTGGATCCACACTCATTTCAGAGTTTCAACTATAGATATGATAGAGCCCAATAGGCTCAACAATCATTACACCAGTTCCTTGACGGTTTAGAGACGGACCAAGAGCCGAAACTCAACCCACCGCAAGCACAACAAGGTGAGTATATACACACACACACCCGACCCACCTTGCCCAGATAGACATCGGCCAGGATGGCGCCAGCAATGGGGGCGAGGTAGACGAGGCCTTCCATAATGGCCTTGACCGTCGTGGCCGAGGAGGAGGTGAAGCCCAACATCCGCTGCATGTAGAACACAGCACCGCCGAAGAGCCCGTAGTAGACGAGGCGCTCGAGCAGGTAGGACACCAGGATGACTGTGGCCCCTCGAGGGTAGGCCATCATGACTGCCCCGCCAGACCTTGCTCCACACGCCATGACGTCTCTCATCACCTGTTTCAATAAAAATACAATTAAAAGTATAACGAGGGTCTTCATTTTATTTTCTTATTTTTAACGATTAAATAGTTTATATGTCGTTAATTCAGCCCATCCTCTTAAAATGAAAGTACTTAGAGTAACTTGTCGAAAGTATCAGTGTTTATGATGGACCACCAGAAAGTTTACTTTTGTATTACTGAAGTTGGAAAAATCGGAAACTTTTTGTGTGTATATATATATATATATATAGAGAGAGAGAGAGAGAGACCAAAGGGACAGTACACAATAAAGGGGAACAGCCTACCTGTAACGATTCGAGAAAGAGACCTGGGAGTGGATGTGACACCTAATCTAACTCCTGAGGCACATATAAATAGGATAACGACAGCAGCGTACTCTACACTGGCGAAAATTAGAACTTCATTCAGAAACCTAAATGAGGAGGCTATTAGGGCGCTTTACACTGCCTACGTGAGACCCGTCTTAGAGTATGCCGCGCCATCAGGGAGCCCCCACCTGAAGAAACACATAAGGAAACTGGAGAAGGTTCAGAGGTTAGCGACGAGGCATGTCCCAGAGTTACGAGGGATGGGATATGAAGAGCGTCTGAAGGAACTGAACCTTACGACACTAGAGAAAAGAAGGGAGAGAGGAGATATGATAGGGACATATAAAATACTCAGGGGAATTGACAAAGTGGAAATAGATGAAATGTTCACACGTAATAATAACAGAACGAGGGGACATGGGTGGAAACTGGAAACTCAGGTGAGTCACAGAGATGTTAGGAAGTTTTCTTTCAGCGTGAGAGTAGTGGAAAAATGGAATGCACTTGGGGAACAGGTTGTGGAAGCAAATACTATTCATACTTTTAAAACTAGGTATGATAGGGAAATGGGACAGGAGTCATTGCTGTAAACAACCGATAGCTGGAAAGGCGGGATCCAAGAGTCAATGCTCGATCCTGCAAGCACAAATAGGTGAGTACACACACACACACACACACACGCACACACACACACACACACACACACACACACACACACACACACACACACACACACACACACACACACACACACACACACACACACACACACACACAGGTCATAGATATAAACTAGCTAAACACAGATGCCGAAGAAATATAAGAAAATTCACTTTCGCAAATAGAGTGGTAGACGGTTGGAACAAGTTAGGTGAGAAGGTGGTGGAGGCCAAGACCGCCAGTAGTTTCAAAGCGTTATATGACAAAGAGTGCTGGGAAGACGGGACACCACGAGCGTAGCTCTCATCCTGTAACTACACTTAGGTAATTACACACACAGCCGGGAGCCGGCCGGCCGAGCGGACAGCACGCTGTGCACGTGATCCTGTGGTCCCGGGTTCTATCCCGGGCGCCGGCGAGAAACGATTGGCAGAGTTTCTTTCACCCTATGCCCCTGTTACCTAGCAGTAAATAGGTACCTGGGAGTAGGTCAGCTCTCACGGGCTGCTTCCTGGGGTGTGTGTGTGTGTGTGTGTGGGGTGTGGGAAAAAAATAGTAGTAGTAGAAACAGTTGATTGACAGTTGAGAGACGGGCCGAAAGAGCAGAGCTCAACCCCCCGCAAGCACAACTAGGTGAATACACACAACCATTCCTGGACGCATCTACCCACACAAACTCCAGCTCATAAATAATAAAAAAAAATCAGACTGATAACACCCACCTCTGCACATTTAGAGATGACATTTAAGCGCATAAAACGCGAACAGTAATGGTAAGCGTACCTGAGAGAACAGTTGTGGTGAGGAGGAGGAGGAGCTGCACTGTGCACCGGGTTGACGTCTACACTGACACCAACAGCAACAGCCACCCAACAGTTGTGGTGGAGAGGTCCACCTTGACCCCAGCAGCAACAACCACTACTCTTTACTAGGTCACTCACTGAATACATTCTCTCCTGGTCTCAGATGCTGTATCTTTTAATACAAACTGTATTATAACTTAGAGTGGTGCTTTAAATGGATTGTTTTATGTATATACGGTATAAAGCGCTTCCCAGTCACATAATGATATTTACAATTATGGATACAATGCTAGCAGACTGCCCCCTAGCTAACACATCCCACTCCTTGATTCCTGGCTGGTGAAAGTGTCCCTCTGTTTGTTTCCTAGTTTTCTCCGTGTCCCTTAGTTTCCTAGTTTGGGTCCGTGTCCCTCTGTTTGTTTCCTAGTTGGTGTCCGTGTCCCTCTGTTTCCTAGCGAACTGTCCGCTAGCATTATATCCTTAACTGTAAATTTCAATTGGTGACATGGAAGGACATTATACCATATATACAGCACACTATCCAATTAAATCATCATTCTGAGATATAGGTCATAGTCAGTCTTGCAGTAAAATGTATATTGACGAAGAGCGGGAGAGTGCACCCCATTGACTGTGACCTAGTACATGTGGCCAACAACTGTGGGTTCAGATCTGGCTGATGCTGTTTATGTGGACCTTAGCGCCGTGCGTACCTTGTAACCTTGCGATGATTTAGGGGCTGAACGGTCCCGCGGCCCGGTCCTGGCAGGTCTTCTACCAGGCGTACTGTAGCTCCTCCCCGCCACTGCTGTTCTCTCAGGTACACTTATCATTACTGTTTGCGTTTTATACACTAAAGAGGAGAGGGCCAAGTATGCTGCCCTGTGGAACACCGATGTTTATAGGTAGTGTCGGAGAAATGGAATTATTCACAGAAACATACCGGAGCCTGTCAGTAAGGTAGGACTGAAGGTATTGAAAATTGAATTGAAATAAGTTTATTGAGGTAAAATACACACAAAGGGAAGAGGTAGCTCAAGCTATTCTCACCCCATTCAGTACTTTTTTGTACCATTCAGTACCATTCAGTACATTGAAATTTACAGTTAAGGATATAATGCTAGCGGAAGGTATTGCAGGGAGTGACCTCTGACTCCTTAATGATGTAATTTAAGAAGAAGGTTTTGGTGATTGACAGTGTCAAAAGCCTTACGTAGGTCCACAAATATCCCAACAGGGAACTCATTTTTATCAAGAGCTGCATGTATCAAGTTAATCATACTAATAAGTGCATCGTTAGTGCTTTTTTTGGGTCTGAAGCCATATTGACAAGAGCTTAGTATATTGTGTATGGCTAGGTAAGAGTAAAGCTGCTTGTAGATTAGTTTTTCAAATATTTTTGACAAGTTTGGCAGAATTAATATAGATCTGAAGTTGTTGACATCAGTGAGATCACCATCAGTGAGATCACTTTAATCTGTTAGATTAAGGACCTGCCCGAAACGCTGCGCGTAATAGTGGCTTTACAAGATTGTAAATACTATGCTATGTATTCTCACAAAACCAATGTAACAACTAGAAGTCTGCTGATTTTATTGGATGATCCATAGATGTGTGGCTCCTCTTGCATGATAGTATGATAATAGATGGAATTACTGGTGTCAATTTCACTTTGCCTCAGATCTACAAGATCTTGTTGAAGTTCTCGGTGTACTGCTGCTCTCAGAGTCTGTTAATTTTATTGGAAAATCCACAAATGTATGGCTCTTCTTGCAGAGGCTCTCCAGACGACCAGAGAGAACGTGTGATGATGGCTGGGGTATAAGCGCCCGGCGACTTCCCTCAGTTACAGCCACAACAACATCGTCGACACGCGCGGGCGAGCGCCCTGCGGGGTCTGAGTGTTTATTTTATTTTGTATAGTCCAGAGCAGGATGACGGCAAGCGTGGACCTCAGCTCGTACAGGGACCAGCACTTTAAGGCAAGAGGAATGCTGGGGCTTGAGAATAGCATATTGACTACATTAGTGGAACACTCACAGGTCGTTTGTTCATTGGTGTGCGTGTTTGAAATCTTAAGAACAACGATATATGGTGCTACATAGCCTTCCCCGGTTTGGTGCCTTCTTTTGATACTTACTTACTAGAACAGCGATATTTCCTTTTCAATTTTTGTTATATCAAATTTATTTCACAAAGACTACTTTATCTGGCATATAATTACACTTGTGGAACCCATAGGCCTGGCACCTTGATTACTGTGACACTACCAGGATGAAGCGGTCCGTCTAATTACCGCAAGCTACCACAAGCTACACAAGCTTCACAAGCTTCACAGAGCTTCCTGGCAATACGTTAGTAATGAATAAATATGATATATTTACTCATTATAATGTTGGTGCTGAATGTACAACACGAAAAAAACATAATTTTAATCAGAAAAAGTATCTTTTTATAAAGAAATTCGATGAAAATAAAGAGCTGGTGACGCCAAATAAAGTCGACGATCCAAGCGTCGGCTAAGTTAGGTAAGGTTAGGTTTGGTTTGGTTAAGTCAGGTTAGGTCAGCCTAACCTAACATATCATATTTATTCATTACTAACGTATTGCCAGGAAGCTTTGTGTAGCTTGCGGTAATTAGACGGACTCGGATGAAGCAAGTGGCAACAGCTGAACTTGCCAAACATGTTGTCTTGGTGTGTGACAGTGATGCTGTAGTGTCAGATCTCTATGGCTTTGTTATTTGTAATTTGGTATTAAAAGCAAATTATGAAATTATAGCAGGCAAATTTATAAAATAAATCATTTCTGATGTCTTGCTTCTTGGCTATTAATAATTTTTGTCGGGGGACAGGCAGCCTTTGTATATACTGTATATACATTCAGAGTATATCAAGGTTCTTTCAGGATCGAACTACTGACCTTCCCTAGGATACAACCCCATAACAGTTGCTTAACAACAGGGAACCTAGTTACTGGAAGGTGAACAAATGTATTAGGTGAAAGCAAACTTGCCCAACCATTAATGTCTCACCTGGGATTCCCAATTGTAAGTGGAGAAAAAATAGTAAGATTTCAATAAAAAACAATTGAGATTGTAGACTTCTCCACCTTCATAAATGGTTCCACTCTTCCCTTACAATACAATACGAGTTCTCTGTCTTTTTCCATATGTTCTCTTTAATTTACTCTTGTATACCTGTATTAAGTGTCTCAAGCATGTATATTTATTATTTTTGAACAATCCTCTTTATCTTTTATTAAATTTTAGTCCTAGTCAATATTAGTTACCATAAATGAAATAATAAAAGAAATTGTGACTTGTAGGCTATAATAAAATAGTCAAATACACACACAAAACAATATATGGTACACATAAATGATAGGAAGTAGATTTTTCACCTTCCGTCATCATGGAAATGACTAGGATTACTACACATTACTACATATAGTGGGCTATAAAAGCTAGGTTAAACTATCTTCACTTATATTGGGCTCTTGAATATTTAATTATACACCTATTGGATGCTCCAAAGTAACCACATCATAGTAGCTCTCTCTCCCTTTCCTTGTCATACAATGTATGAGGGGTACTCAGTATAGTTTTACTTAGGCTTGGTGGTTAAATATTGATATCAAAACTATTGTACTATGAAAACACTGGATGTTCATCAGTGCACATTATCATTACAGTATTTTGTCTTTCCACAAGTGTTCAATCATATTATTCAACTATACAATATAGGACTTCCTTCCTTGTAATATTGCACATTTCACTCAGGTCACTTGTTTACAAATAATGTTCTATTTTCTTAACGATCAAATAAAAAGTGTGACGTTCACAAATCATCAGTGAGAACTAGTTGTATAACCCATACGTGATCTATGGCTTTCAGATATTAATAAATACAGTATACAATGACTCATAAATTTGCAGAGTGATTACAGTTTTCCCTGAATTTGACAAATCCTCATCCCTGACATTTGCTTTTAGTACTGGGTCATACCTTCCCCGATGATAACAAGTACTCAAATGTGTTGGCAGAAGATTCCTCATGGCTAATGATGAAGGCACCATGCCTCCTTATGATGCCTGACTAAAGTGGTGGGCCTCTCAAGTCCTCAAATCCAACTCTCTCCTCTCGAAAGAGGTAGAAGCTGGAAAGTTCATTCTATTGGTAATATAGTAGGTACTGAACATTTTCTATTTGTTGTCGTAACCTTTTTTGAAAGTGTAACTATGCAATTTCTGATTTTCCAGCCTTTTGGGACAGAACCTCTCTTCTTCTTGTGCTCCCTCCTGATTGGCTGACATTTGTTTCAAATTACTGTACAGTATCTCTGATATCAGCTGGTTAGTCAAAAGTTTATACAGTACAGTACTGGTATTCTCAAACATTCTATCTATAACGTACTAACGTTTTTACTCTGCCTCAAACACCTGTACAAGATACAGTACATAAGTTTAGAGATGGCATTAAAACAAATGTTCATGAAATGTGTAAATATTTAATTCAAAGTGATCTGTTACCAGAAATTTTAGTCAAATATCCCATTTGTTAACTGTAGGTAATAAATGTGGGGTACGTGATAGGCAAACCAAATTACGAAGCTTGTGCACCACATATGTAAGCTACTTAGAGACTGTACTTGTGGTCATTCTGGAACCCATTATTGATGTTGAATTTGGTTTTAAATATGCTCAGTAGCTTTTCCAAGGCCACAACTATAACTCTTAATGTTTCCTCCATTTGTGAAGTTGATCTCAACATCCTAAGCAATTCCACACATCTCCCGCTTTAGTGAACTCTTGTTTGTTGAATCGGGTGAGTAAATGCAATATGGAAAGTGTGTATTCCAAGTGGAGATTCGTTGAATAAAGGTTCCACTACTTGCATTAGATGAACTACCAATTTGGCAAGTTCTAGCACCTTGTCTGACCACCTTCAGCACTCAATGGCCAATGAATCTTTCTCTCCATTTTGGGTTTTCTTGATGTAGACTGCTTAAGAGGTTGTCATTATAGTAACACTTCTTGAAATATCCTCTGTTAATTATAGATACTTTTGAACAAATCCACAAAGACCGTGACGAGGGTTCGAACCTACGTTCGAGAGGATCTTGGTACTTTTGGTGTAGATACTTTTGTTGTTTTTATATTAACATACATTTCTAGTCTCTGGCCAATACAGTTGAATATGATACACTACTGGAGCCTACAGAATTAACTTTGTCTCCATTTATTCTCATACATTCATGTCAGTTCATTCTATAATTAAATGGTTTATAAATAATCTTTGTATCTCTTATGTTGTTTGTTATTCAAATGTTATAATGAACTTTCATGAGGTCATTTCAGGTTAGAATTGGATATTCAACTGGTGCCTCCTTAGCACAAGTTTGACCCCCCCAGAGTAATTTTATGCATTTTTTGACTTGCAAGTTATAGAATGTGTCGGCTCTGATTGACATGACTTTATTCAACGAGTCCAGAATAAATCTTTCCTCCAGGAGAATGTTTTCTAATCAAATTAGCATTTTATTATCATTCAAACTGCCCATTTTTATTCAGGAAATCTATTTATAACTTTTGCATTTATATTATACTCTCATTAATGCCCTTTTGTTTATCCATATTTAATTTGTATTTAATAGTAAATTGAATAGAAAAGCAATGTCATCTTCAGCACTTTCTCTGAGCACATGTGCATTACAGAATTTCAATCTTTTGTAGATTTTTTGGTGCAACAGTGAAATGTAGAAATGGTCACCCAACTTTTTATGATAGCACAAGAAGGTGCTGTATCAGACAAAGTTGTACAGTGCACCATTTAACATACTGCATTGTGTTTAAAGTGCTGTCTTTAAATATTATATCCTGTTAGGTTTTAATGATAGGGGAAATGGCAGCAAGTGCCACCAGTAATGAAGCTGGTGGCAAATGCCACATACCAACCAAAGTTTTTCACTGTCCAAAGCATACCCCCACAAAACCTTAGACACAAAGGTTAAATAGCATATTGTCTGCAAGGCTTAATACAAAAATTAAGCTAGACACAGTATCATTGCATAGAACTTTGAGCAGGTCAGCTTTGAGATTCAACTATTATGTGAATGGGTGTAAATTTGCCAGAACTGAGTCATTGTTCATTCATGCAATAACTTATGAAATACACTTTCAAATAAACACTAAACTAACATAGTATTTTTCCTACAGTTGGTGTGTATCCTCCACGGACTTTCGCTTGTACAAACGACCATGCTGCACTCATAGCAGCGCCCCTAGTGGAATATCTGGCCCATATCTATATCTGTTATAGTATTGTAATAGGAAATATTGATATTAGTAAATATAAAATTGTAACAGCATTGATTTGGAACATTATATTGACAGAACAATACAAATCAGTTACAAAAAGTTCCATGGGAGTCAAATTAAGCCTACCTGATGTTAAAGTGTTGAACTGCATATATACATATATACCCCACCTCACTATATTCTGTTTATTTATCTTCAGTTGGTCCAAAAGTTCTTCTATTCCCAAAGCAAAACCTGAGTTCAAGCTTGTCCTGTGTTGTATCCTTTTATTAAATTTTAGAAAACTCTAATATCAAAAATTGAGTTTACAAATTGTCTTCTAATTTTTTGTTTCATCTCCAAATTTTTATTGGTTATATTTGTTATGCCGTAATTTTATATAGTTTATTTTGACCTGTTATGCCTACCTACCTGTTGAAGTTTCTGGGGATGAATGTCCCTGTGACAACTCTTATCGGGCCGCCTTGTGCAACCCTCTTCATCATTTCTTTCTTTATTGTTCCATGTTTGCTCAATACTACCAGTCCCAAATATTATATTGGCAAATATCAACCCATTTCATTCCTGCACTCCACCATGGTTTCTGTTTATTCTGTGGGGCTTAGAAATTCTCATTATTCTCTTGCATTTCAATGTAAACTGCACCTGAGGAACAGTAATTGTCTACAGTGTATTTGGGCCATCACAAAAATTGCATATTAGTTCTTGTTGAAATCCTTTATTGTAAGGCAATAGAAAATTCAGTACTCTACATTCTATGTATTCTGTACAAGCAGAGTTGTAATTATATAGTATACTGAATGTTCTTTTTTGAGTTCTCCTGCATTATCTCTTAAGAGGTGGCAAGATCAGAATAAACAGACAAAATGTGATTGCATGTGATTGAAAGTGGTTAACATATTGGAAGAAGTCAAGAAATGTAAATACATTTTATCAGTTCTCATTAATTTGTGAAAGAACTGATTGGATCCCATGGAAAGAATAAAAATCTTGCTAATATTATGAAGAAAGTATTGCATGATAGCTAGCTCCTTAAAACCTTTTGCGAGTGAAACATGGAAAGGACGAGGCCATTTAAATTTTTTATTTATTGAAAGGAATTTAGGAACTGCATGTAATCAAAGTAGATGAGTTGTAATAAGTCAAGTCAAGTATATCAGAATTGTGATATGACAGAGGTGAGAGGTGATGGGTCTCAGAGTCATGAGACATAGTGGGCTCTACCATGGCCTCAACATCAGAAAAGAATGATATAATTTGTAAGGAAAATGTACGAGTAAAAATAGAGGGAGCTAGAGCAGTGGGGTTGTTTGTCAACATTAAGGGAACAGTAATTGGAAAGTTATAAATGAGATAGTTGCCATTACAACATGGGGTATAGAACAAGCTAGGAGATAGCTTTTACAAGATTGTTTGTAAAGATATTTGTTGTGGAAAACTATTGTTAACGGGAGCACCAGGGAGGATTAAGACATGGGGATGTGCACACAGATGCAGGTCTAGGTCCACACTAAATAGAAGTTACAATTTTTGGAATTAGCCAGTTCTCTTGAGTGATTATAAATTATAATAGAGCTTAGACTGGATCTTATCATCTGATGGGTCAGTGGGTAACTATAGTGCATGGGAGAGGGAGCCGAGCGGACAGCACACTGGACTTGTGATCCTGTGGTCCCGGGTTCGATCCCGGGCGCCGGCGAGAAATAATGGGCAGAGTTTCTTTCACCCTATGCCCCTGTTACCTAGCAGTAAAATAGGTACCTGGGTGTTAGTCAGCTGTCACGGGCTGCTTCCTGGGGGTGGAGGCTGTTAGTCAGCTGTCACGGGCTGCTTCCTGGGGGTGGAGGCCTGGTCAAGGACCGGGCTGCGGGGACACTAAAAAGCCCCGAAATCATCTCAAGATAACCTCAAGATATGGGGATTTCTTTTCTGACTAGTGTGAAATTATAAGGTGAATAGTTTTCAATATAGAGAACTAGATGGGGGTGCCCAGCAGTGCCCAGATCCCTGTTTCTTTGATTCTCCCTCCATCCCATTCTCCCTCCCATTCTTTCCCCCTCTCCCCTTTTTTCTCCCTCCCTCCCTCTCTCCCTCTGGTTTTCTGTTTTTCTTATAAATATACAACTTTTTGGGGGTATGAGGATATAATCTGAAACTAAAGGCAACATTAATATCTTTAAAATTAACAAGATATTTTTCTGGAATATAATGTTAATGATGGGGCCCTATTCCTTAGTATAGGCATTCTTCCTATTCCTTACTATGCTGAAAGTTTCTTCATTCACCTTAATGGGTAAAGGTTATATAACCAGTTAATTAAACTGGTTATCTTGATGGCCTAAGAGAGCATTTTTATCCCTTACAGGGTTCGCGTTCAGATCAGGAGCGTCTGTTACGCAACTCCACCACACTATACGTTGGCAACCTGTCCTTTTACACCACCGAAGAGCAGCTCTATGAATTGTTTGGGCGTGGAGGAGATGTAAAACGCATTGTTATGGGCCTTGACAAATTTAAGAAGACACCATGTGGCTTCTGCTTTGTTGAATATTTCACCAGGTGTGTGACTGTACAAATAACATTTTTTGTATTACTTATTATAAATTCCCTTTCTTCTATAAGCTTTTTCTTTACAGTTTGATATGTAAAATTAAATTTGTATTCCAAGTATTTTTCCCACACACTAAATATACACTCCTAAAGTTTGCAGAGCAGAAATTTAAATACATTTAACTGTTCACCATTGTGGTGGCTTTAGGACAACAAAAACGAGCAAATAACAATTGTTGTTAAATTGGCGTGTTGCTAGTTAACAAGTGCTGTATATACCTAATACAATCTTTTATGTTGAGGAGAATTTTTACAAGTGGCAATGAAAGTGGAATATGATTAGATACAGTTTGTTGCATAAAATTCTACTAATATTTAATTAATTTAGCTTTATTAAAGTTTGTGATGAGATGGGCTGTATTGTATCTGCTTGACAAGTTCATTTTTCATATTAACTCACTGCCCTAAAAAAAAAAGAAAAAAAATGGGCTTGGTTGTCCAGCTGAATTTAGTCCATATCTTGGTACATACAAGGCATTTGCTAACAAGCCTGGCTAAACAGTATAGAAAACATGAGAAAAATACAGTACAAGTTTTGCTATTTTCAATAGATCTTGCTCACTAGAAACTCTTCTCAGGATTTTTTTTTTTTTTTTTTGTATATACTGTACAGTAGTGTGGCTTAAAGTATGTACTTCCATATTAATATTGTTAAATTTATGAAATTCACAGGTATTTTAAAAAATAAGATAAAAACTGCACTTCTATCCAATTACAGTCCCATTGACACAACACCAGACTCTATTAATAATGGCAAAACTAGGCTACCACCACATTGTGGACACCTTATCTCTGTACAAAAAACCGGCGCTCTCATTCCATGCACTATTCCACCACCCAATTATCATATGGTTGGGCATGCACTTGACAACTGCAAGACTTAGATACCTGAGAGTTCCTGTAATAACCCAGGGTATCTTTCTTCTCACAAGAGGAGTTCCTGGGAGAGATTAAATCCTTTGCTGGTCCTTGTTGGTATAAATCATGTCATTAACGTGAGACTTGCTACAATGTTCTATATATCATTTATCTGTTGTGATTCACTACAGTGCTGGACATCTCATGCTGAATACAGATAAAGCTAAAATTCCTTGAAACTTTGCAAAAGGAAGCTAAGCAAATCATCCTTAGGGGCTCCAAAGTCCATGAGAATAAGTGAAAGAATTTTGTCCATTAACATAGTTTTGTGTGAAGGCATCTAGTAAATGTCAGCAACACATGAAATTTCAAACTAAGCTCTCTAATATGCTACACTCACATGAGGCATATTGAAGGAGAGGGAAACTTGATTATGTATTTTGGTTTTACATGGTAGCTAACTCCATCAAAACATTAAATATGTGCCCAACTCAAACTAATGATCAATTACCCAATTAATCCATATGATAAATGGGATTTATTAGATTTCATAAATGCACCCAAGAAAGATAATGTACTTGCTAGAGTGCTCAAGTTATGGGTAACAGTGTTTATCAGTGTTGAACTGATTGCTCTGTAGAAGAGGGTGGAAGATGTACTGGATACTCAAGTAATATGTTCAAAATATCTTGCTCATACAGCAATGAAGTGTGTCAAAGACTGCTAGTACGACTCAAGCCACACTTGCAGGTCGCTGAATGTTTAAAAGACAAAGGCAGTGGAATTATATACCGTAATTCATGGAGTGCACTCCTGGTATTAAATGCACACAGTAGTAACACCCAGAAAATAGCTAGTTATATTCAAATGATTGTTTTAACTGCTAAAGAAAATTGATTTGAAATTAAATTTCTTTGGATACCATCACGTGTTGGCATCTCAAAGCATGATACTGTTGACATGCTTACCAAGACAGCCTGTAGTAGACCAGTATAGATCAGTAGTAGAAATTAATACAAGCATTTCATTAGTAGTGGCAGAAAATACTTAAATGAATATCTGATGCTAATCTTGCTTGTCTAAATAATTCTGAATGACCACGATGAGACATTTAAATATGGGACTAATAGAGCTAAAGCTCATCAATGCGATGTTATGGTGGCTAGAATACACATGGGATACAGACGTATCTGGCAGCTTTCTCAAAACTCAAATGTTAAATAAAGCAGCTTGTTCTCATTATACCTACCTACTCTCATGTTTTGTGCACTCATTATAAACCCCTGTAATCACTGCATCCACAATACTCATTAAGCTACTGTTTGTAACCTATGATTGCTTGCCCAGAGATATCTCTTTTTGTTTGGCTGTGATAAAAATATATCTACCGGTAGTTGTTAGGGCAGTTAACTGTAATTTACTCTTTTTAACATTTATTACACTAAAAAATATAAACTGTAATTTTTCTTTCCGTAGAGAGGACGCTGAGATGTGTATGCGTTATATCAATGGAACTCGGTTGGATGATCGTATAGTACGAACTGACTGGGATGCTGGCTTTATTGAAGGACGACAGTATGGCCGAGGCAAGAGCGGTGGTCAGGTACGTATTTGTTTTATATAGTGGTAATAGATGCTGTGTATGAAATGTAATTCTTGCTCATAATATTGAAAAGCATATACAGTGGAACTTCGGCTTACGAGCCCGGTTTGTTTGGAAAATTTGCATCGGGTTACGAGTTTGTTGATACGCGTACCGGCCGACCTAGCGTGTGGTGGCGCGGCGATTGCGCCTCAGCTTACTAGTGCCTCACGCCCAGTGATTATCCCGCCTGAATTCTTCACAAGGCTTTACAGTTTTTTGTCTGATTTTTGGCCACTTGAGCATAAAAGTTGTTATTATATATCTCACCATGGGTCCCAAGAAAGCCAGTGGTAAGGTTCAACCTACGAAAATAGTTGTGAGTAGAGGCAGCAGAGGATGTCCCTTCCTCATTAAGAAAATGTATGACGTATGGGAAGAACTGCAAAGTTTTATTGAAAAAACTCACCCAGATAAAGCTGTAGCAGGCCGTTGCATTGATCTTTTAAATGACAATGTGATGTCTTACTACAGACAAGTGTTGCAAAGAAGGGAAAAACAATCTTCAATGGATCGTTTCGTTGTGAAAAAATCAAGTAGTGAGCCACAACCAGGACCTAGTGGTATGCAGGCAAAATGTGCCATAGAGTGCACTCTAGAAAAATCTTTACTGCCAGATGTTATAATGGAAGGGGACTCCCCTTCCAAACAGTAACACCTCTTCTCCTCCCCCCCTCCTCACCATCTTCCATACGCCAACAGGAGTCATCAGCAAGGGTAAGTAATAACTTGAACATACTTTTGTAGTGTAGATTTGAATGAATTAGGCATAAAATTTAGTTTGAAGTGAAGTTTTTGGGTAGTCAGGAACGGATTAATTCATTTCCCCTTTTTTTCCTTTGGGGAAATTAGCTTCGGGTTACGAGCTGTCTCCAGGAACGGATTAAACTTTTAAACCGAGGTACCCCTGTATTTAAATGATTTTGTTTTGTGTACTGAGGAAGCTTATATGCATTAAATTTTGTTAACGGATGAATTCCTTTCATATAATATAGTAATTGACAGTGACATACAGTAGTACAGTGGAACCTCAGTTTTCAACTGCCTCTGTTTTCAAATTTTCGGTTCTCGAGCTCAATTTCTAAGAAAAATTTGACTTGGTACTTGAGGTTTGCCTCGGTGCTCGAGTTTGTTGATACACGTATTGGCTTCAGTTTACCAGCGTCAGTAGCCTAGTGACGACCCCGCTTGAATTTTTTGTGAAGAATTTCATAGTTTTTGTGCTTTTTTTAGTTTCTGAACATAAATGTTCTTATTATATATCACATCATGGGTTCCAAGAAAGTCAGTGGTAAAGTTCAACCTAAGAATATAGTTGAAGATGACAATAGAGGAAAAACAAAAGATCATTCATAGTGAGACAATGTGATGTCTCACTACAGACAAGTCTTAAAACATAGGGAAAAACAAGTGTCTATAGACAGATTCTTAGTAAGACAAGTAAGTAGTGAGCCACAACCAGGTCCTAGTGGTATGCCTACAAAATATAAGAGTATGCCAGAAATGTCATCACTGCTGTTATAATGGAAGGGGACTCCCCTTCCAAACACTAACACCTCTCCTCCTCCCCCTCCCCTTCCTCACTGTCTTTCATATGCCAACAAGAGTCCTCAATAAAGGTAAGATATACTTGTACATACTGTAATACAAAATATTAGTAGTAAAATGTATTTTTAAGTTAATATTTTTGGGGGTGTGGAATGGATTAATTCAATTTACATTATGTCTTATGGAAAAATTCCTTCAGTTTTCAAATTTCTGGTTTTCAAACTGTCTCTTTTAAAGGATTAAATTAAAAAACGAAGGTACCACTGTATAAATAATTAACACTTGCACAATAATAAAGGTTTCTAGAAACTGTTTAAAATCTTAGAATGACTGACTTTGAAAATGCTATTAGAAATTTCTGAATAACCAGACCTTTGTTATCAACAAGCTAGATTTGTAATTAGTATGTAATTAGTCTGCAGGATTTTTCCTCAATATAATCACCCTTATTTTGTATGCTTTGGGCATATACTCCCCACAATTTCCATTTGTATGTCTAGCTTTGCCACATTTGGGCCTGTGCATTAATATGTATACAGTATCTCATCCTGTTTAATATGTATACAGTATCTATCAACCTTTTGTTGGGTAACCACAGCAGATATTCCCTAAGAAATGTATGTATACCACTATACATATATATTTAATTTTTAATTTATTTTTATAACTGCTCCATGGAAATTGATTTATTGGTTGAAAATAAATGAGTGCTATGTCATGAATTGAAAGAATCCAGAAAGTAAGATTATGGGCCTTATGCAATCACGATTTAATTGTTAAAATAATTGTCATTATTACTTTGCTCATTATCAAATTTTGTTTTATCATGTGTGGCAAAAAGACCACACATGAGTAAAAATGGTGCGAATGCTGTTTATTTTACAGGTCCGCGATGAGTATCGAACAGATTACGACAGTGGGCGAGGCGGTTATGGAAAAATTGTCCAGCAAAAGATCCTCCCAAAAATACCATAAACTGATACTTTTTATGTTGAATGGAGAAGTGAGGAATATGTATAATACAGTATATACAGTATACCCCGGAAACTGAGTGACTCAAGTCAAAATGCATAAAGGAAGTATGTATAGTACGCTACTTCTAGAATTGGTTAGGCCCCCATTAACATAAAGATGAACTATGTTGGTAACAATTTGCAATGAACTTGATGTTTCTCCTATGTGAGGCGGTTATGGAAAAATTGTTTTCTCTGTGATCTCTGTGTTTCTTGTAGTAAATGGATTTTTAAAACACTGTGTTTTCTTGTAGTAAATGGATTTTCTTATTGAAAATAATGTACACCATTACATTATTTTTAGTTACCTGGACAGTTATGCTGGGTAATATTTTGATGATATACAAAATTTATTTGCATTTTTATATATACACAAATTTGGAAATTGCTCTTTTTAAGTTGGAGCATCAGAGATGATGCATGTGACTGGTGATTTCAAGCTAGAAGTGACCTATGTATATTTGGTATAGCCTAATCTTTTTATTTAGATCACTACTGGTATTTTGAGTAAATGGTAATGTTGACAAGAATGTACTGTAAACTTTTATGAAGTTTAAAGTTTTGTATTCTAAACAGAACAAATTGTGTTGTCAGGTATTATTTCATTTTATGAACTAGATTATTCTAGATTATATTATATTTATTATAAAGGAATGTGAAGGTTTGAATCAGTCCTTCTAATGTTTTCCAAGTGTAAATTGTTATGTATCTCTCACACCTGCGCTCTTGGGAATACAGATTTAAAATTTTTAGGTGGTCCCCATAATTTTGATGTTTGAGTGGATTCTAGTGGTAACAGAGCTTTGCATGCTCTCCAGGTCAGCAGTTTATCTAGCTTTAAATGGGGCTGTTGGTGTGCAACAATCTTCTACTCTAGAGAACACTAATGTCTTAAAAAGTATCATTACTGGCATGGCATCTCTTGCTTAGAAGGTTCTTTTTATCCAACCTGTCATTTTTCTTGCAGTTTTGACAGCAACTTTATTGTGTTCTTTAAAGGTAAGGTTTTCTAACGTAACTACTCCTAAAACTTTTGCATTGATTTTCTTTCAATAATCTGGTTTGACTGTGTTTTATGTGGTTTCTGCTTTGATATTTTTGCTTTTCCACAGCACAGTAATTGGAACGTATCCCCATTAAACATCATATTATTTTCTGTGCCCCATTGAAAGACTTGATGAAGTACAGTATGCCTTTTATAACCTCACAGCCTAGTAGAATATCTCAGAAAAGTAGCTAGCACAGATTAATTCAAAATGTTACATACGGTATATGTGAGAAGCAGGATGGTTATGAAGAGCTATATAAGTATATTAAAGAGGTAAAGTAATTGTGAGTAGAAAGCAATAAGCCAGTGTGATTATAGCAATTTGAAGGAATATAAGGATTGTTAAAGCCCAATGCCCAACCACCTGGACCACAAGGAGTAGAGCTCCGCCCATGAAAGAAGCAGGACTGTCGCTGGGTTCATCAGTCTAAGTGGCAGATTGAGCATATATCAAGCAGTAGGTATGAGAGAGGCAGAATTATTCTGCATTTCATAAGAACTGTAAATATTGGACAAACCAGTAAGAAGTTTGTTTATTACATGGTTTATTACATTTTTTTAATGCATGTTTTGAACTCATAACAAATTTGATTTTTGTGTATTTCATCGGAAAACTTGATTGGTACATGTGAATTTGTTCGATACAACCATTGTCAATTAACATGCAGACCGAATTAAAAAATGGATTAGGATGATAACACATTTTAATTTAAGAATTATGTAGTTTCTGAGGACAAATAACTTTTTAATACTTATTTTTTAAAATATTGAAAACATTTTAAAATGTCATTATTATTATAATCTTTGAAAGAAGACCGAATATTTCCCTCTCATGAATTTTTGTATATGAAATCAAAACATTTCTCAATCTTAGTCTGATAAAAATCAGAAGCAACTAAATTCTAAGAACTGATACCAATGCCATAGACATTTACTTAAAGCAAACATTAATGGCTAATTCTTCTTTAGACTGCCGTTAACATTTCATGTTAGAACCCTGATCACAAACCTTGTCTAGTTCTCATTTCATACATAAAAGATAAAAGTACCATGCAAACCATAAAATAGTCCCTCCATTCTTGCTTTAACCATACAAACCATAAAATAGTCCCTACATTCTTGCTTTAACCATGCAAACCATAAAATAGTCCCTACATTCTTGCTTTAACCATACAAACCATAAAATAGTCCTACATTCTTGCTTTAACCATACAAACCATAAAATAGTCCCTACATTCTTGCTTTAACCATATAAACCATAAAATAGTCCCTACATTTTTGCTTAAAAAAAAAGTTGATTATTTCATACACAAATATACACAGTCTTCACAATTATTATTGCATGTAGTGCCATGCGAGTTCACTATTCAAAACATGTCAACATTAAATACAACACGAATGCCAAAATCTACAGTCGTCCATTACGGCAAAGAATTCAGCCAATAGAGTAAGCAGTTCTGTTGTAGTTGCCTCAGTGGAGCTCTGTTGTAGCCACCTCTGGAGCTCTGTTGTAGCTACCTCAGTGGAGCTTGTGTGTAGCCACCTCAGTAGAGCTCTTTTGTGGCCACCTCAATGAAGCTCTGTTGTAGCCATCACAATAGATCTCTGTTGTAGCCACCTCAATAGATCTCTGTTGTAGAGCTCTCAACAGAGCCCAGCTGAGCTCTCTAACCAAGTACTGTACCTAAATATCGGTGTAAACAACACAGTCACATCCACAGCTCCTCTATCACATGTCATGAAATTCTGAGGGGAAGTGGCTTTATAGTTATTAAACGGCAACACTTCTAAGAACTGCATAGTCCACTATATAGGCAATAGTGAAGAGAACCAGGAGGAGGAAGTTGACCACTCGCTTGATCTGTGAGAGGCTGATTCCGGAGCTGTCCTGTGCAGTAGTTGGCTGGGTGCTGCTCCCGTCTCCTTCCTCGATCATCTCGGCCTCAAGATGGTTATACGTTTGCTGAAGATAAATGTTGTTTTGATCAATAATTTCAGGTATAATACATTATGCAATCTATGTTGTTTAGTTTAAAAAGATACGGTGAGTCTATATGTAAGTTACGCTAATTATAATTTCATGCTGTTTTTTTAATATATTATCACCAAAGTTAATATGATAGTGAAAACAGGTAGGGAGCCATTGCCAATGGTGGAACCCAAAGAAATGCAACAACTTAGGCATGTTCTTGGGCTAATGGGAGGAAAGAGTGAGTGAGAGAGAATGTATGAGTGAGAATGAATGAATGAGTGACAGTGAATGAATGAGTGACAGTGAATGAATGAGTGACAGTGAATGATGATGAATGTGTGTGAATGAATGAATGTGAATAATGAATGAGGGTGAATGAATGAATAAGTTGTGTAGCCTAAAATGCAACTTCTATTGAGACTGTTGAGTCTCAATAGAAGTTCTTCTATTGAGACTTCTATTGAAACTTCTGTTGAGACTGCAACACTTCTATTACCGTGTAATTTTCAATATTGAAAATTGTTAAGTATTACCAAAATGACTTGCCTTTAATATGTAACAATTATATATTGTCTTTTATAAGAATTTCAGCGCAAGACGTGTTGTTACCATTATATTAAACATAAAGGTGCAGATGAAATGACACACAACACCCATTCACTTGAGGTCTGATTAAAACCTTTCGTGTTCTCTGTAGTTCATTTGTGCTGTTGCTCACAGGACGAGTATGGAGTACACAATAAATACCGCTCAAAGGATGAGTGTGGGATTCACAATAAACTACAATGTTTTTAGGGGAATTAAAAAGTAGACTAAAAACAATTTTCAGAGCGAGAAGCAGTGGAACGAGGGAACACATATGGAAACAGGAGAGAGAAATGAGTCGGATATCGGTAACTTTAACTGCTCCAATGTAAGGTTTGTAAATATTGGGAATGAATTAGATAGGGAAGCTGTCAATACTAATTCAGTACAGCTTTAAATGCAAATATATTACAAAAAATCAATGAAATGAGTGATTGCATTGAACTATTCTGATGGTCAAAGGGCAGAGCTGATGGATCAGATGGTGGACTCTTCAAGCACGTGTGACATCACACTTGGGCTTTATGTGTGTGTGATATGTCAAGAAGAAGAAGAAAAGATATTTAACATCCAGTACCTTCCTTCCTCGGGAAAGAGTGATCATGTTCTGTTGGAAATTAAATATGCTTTGTGATATAATGTAATGGAGAATGGGGACATTGAAACAGTTGATAAACTCAATTTCAAGAGAGGACACTATGGGGAACTTAGAATTTTTTTTAATGAGTTTAATTGGACACACTTGGTGCTAGGCAAGGAAGTAAATGAGATGTATACCAAATTTTTCAAAGTAAACGATGAATGCACACAAACATTCATACCAAAACAGATATGCAGGACCAGAAAACAAGATTGGTTCAACAGAAATTGAGGGGGGGCCAAAGACAAGAAAATAGGTTCAGTATCGGAAGAGGCATACCTCAAACATACCAGCATTACAAACAAGCAAGAAACAATTACACAGCAGTGAGAAGAGAGCCCGAAAGGAACTTTGAGAACAGTATAGCGGACAAATATAAAACAGATCCAGACCTTTTCTATAAATTCATTAAAGGCAAGCTGCATGTAAAAGTTAAAATCCAGAGATTGAGAACAGGGAATAGGGAACCAATAGTCTGGGGTTGAGGAAGTCCTACGATTATTAGAAAAAAATATTAGACCATTTTCTTTTGCAGTGGTAGATGATTGGTACCTTACCTTACCTTGTGGTTACCTTACGATGGTTTTGGGGCCCAACGTCCCCATGGCCCATTCCTCACCCAAGAGTCCTCGTTGCTGGACTGGTCAACCAGGCTGTTGGATGTGGCTGCTTGCAGCCTGACGTATGAATCACAGCCTGGTTGATCATGTATCCTTTGGAGGCGTTTATCAAAATCTCTCTTGAACACTGCGAGGGGTCAGCTAGTTATGCCTCTTATGTGTAGTGGAAGCCTGTTGAACAGTCTTGGGCCTCTGATGTTGATAGAATTCTCTCTCAGAGTATCTATTGCACCTCTGCTTTTCAACAGGGGTATTCTGCACATCCTGCCATGCCTTCTGGTCTCGTGTGGTGTGATTTCTGTGTGCAGGTTTGGGACCAGCCCCTCTAATATTTTCCATGTGTAAATTATTGTTTTAGCCATCCTGCCTGCGTTAAAGAGAATAAAAATTTTGGCATTTTAGTCGGTCCCAGTAGTTTAGATGTTTTACTGAGTGGATACTAGCAGTAAAGGATCTCTGCATGCTTTTCAGGTCAGCAATTTCTCCAGCTTTGAAATGGGCTGTCATTGTGCATCAGTATTCCACTCTAGAGAGCACTATGGTCTTGAAAAGTATCATCATTGGTATAACATCTCTAGTTTGGAAAGTTCTTTTTATCCAACCTGGATAGGAACATAAGAACAAACTAAGTGAGAAGACGGTGGAGGCCAAAACCGTCAATAGTTGCAAAGCGTTATACCACAAAGAGTACTGGGAAAATGGGACACATGTGTAGGTCTCATCCTGTAACTACACTTAAGTAATTGCACTTGGGTAATTACACGTGCGCACATCCTCGAAGGCAAGTATGTGACAGTACGTCAAGAGGCCGGGAGGTATAAATGTACCAGGTACAATAGCTATGAAGCAGGGCTCCTAAGCTCACTTCCCTGTAGGCACAACTAGGTAAACACTTAAATCCAAATAAACCTTAAGTGACTAAATTGAACAACCGCGTTTGAGACTGAAGCAGTCAAGCCCCAAGAAAAACCCACCTGAGGCACGACATCTCGGAGACCAGGAACGAAGGTGACGGCGCTCGCCAGTTTTCTGCTTAGGGTGTTGGTTGGGGTGGAGGTGCAGCAGTTGCCCTGGGCCGTCAGGAAGAATGTACAGAGCAGGGAGATGGTAGTGAGGATTATTGTCCCGGAGTAGTAACGAACTGCAACGATGCAAAACACCACTTGGTTAAGATACTAACTTGACTACAGTGACTTCAAATATATTGTGCTATCTGATCTATCTAAATCTAATCTAGCTTATCTAATTGTCTTTTTTTTATTCAAACCATATAATTTAGCTTCATCTATTTATAAAATTTTACCTGACCTAATCGTATTTTCAGAGGTTTGAGTGTGTCTGACTTACACTCTAGCAACATCCCACCCCTAGATTAGCCTCATGTTTTAGTGGCAGGGATCTAAAACTATTAGTCTAATGGCATCTTATTAAGGATCAAATATTTTTTGTTGGACAGTGCAGGGTGTGTATTTACCTAAGGGCCACCATCTCTACAGTGGCCTCGATGGGACAGGAGGCTGCCTCAGTTACCATAGTGTGTGTGTTACTTCCGATGATCATCTTGCTGATATACATGGTATAAAGATTATAGTGGATTACCTTGGAAATCTGAAAGAACTCACCCACTAGTGGTACAGGCCCACCGTTGGCCGGTAGGAAGGCGAAGAGGCTGAAGTAGCAAGTGATGAGCACACCCAGAGCGAAGAGGTGAATTATCAGACGACTGAAGAAGCTGTCAAGTGGCAGAGCGTACGACATCAGCACCACCATCACTAAGGCTAGAGCAGTCACAAGCATTAGCAATAATTTTATTATTAACAAGCTTAGGTGAACAACAGTGTGCTGCTACCCTATTATCAGATATTATAGGTCCTCGTAGTAATCTCTCTCCGCTTTAGTAACCACAAACCTCTATGGTAATCTATTTCAGGCTAACAGAGTAATCTAATGCTATCGTAAATATTTTACTCTTTCCTCTTGTATAAGTAATACAGTACAAGAATTATGATGATGCAGGCTCCCAAAAAAGATGATAAGGCTTTCCTAAATATTATATTCCTTGAGTATGTGTTGACTGATTCATTAGCTCAGCAACCCACTGTCGATGTGTCTTCTGCACAGGGTACTTCTTAGTACTGCATAAAGGTAGATTTGTATTTGCAAATCATGGCATTTGCTTGATAAAATTAATATTTAAGTATTTAGACATGATTCACTACAATTTTTCTCTATTATTTTTAATTATTACGTTTTTTGTGTGTAGTATTTTTTGCTTATACAATAATTATCACAAACATAGTTGAGCATAGGTTAATAAAGCACAGTTCTTAGACAAATCATGTCCAGAATATAAAAAAATCATTAAGCGAGAAATCTTAAAAATGCAACAAATTAATAAAACATAAGATCCATAATATTGACGTTTTTATGCATCTGCCTCAATAGGTTAGGTGATTTCAAGGTTGTGTAGATGCAGGATTGGTGCTAGAGTCGTTGGTATCAGCTCACCTAACGTGGACTGTGTGATGAAGGTGGCGTGCATACTGGCCTGGCGCTTCACATTGAAGGTGAAGTCGACCTCGACATATGGGTCGTGTTCTTCCAGACTGATGAGGGAACGCGTCGCCGTCACATTAATCAGTTTCCATTGGTTGTTCTTCTCGAAGTTGGTCATTATCACCTGTAAACACAACTTTGTCAGCACGTGGGGACAGATCCAGATATACAGACGTACGGACCCAGACATAAAAGCACAGACGGACGGATCCAGACACTAAGAGATAGACATAAACTGAAACATACAGCCACAAAAAGCCCCAGACATAAATAAGCATACATATACAGTATAGATGAGGCTACGCCAGAAATTGGGTGTTCTAGCTGCAGATTAACCCGCGCTCTGTCAAATGCAGACACATGGCCCATGTGTCAAAGGTCATTGTCAAAACTACACTTCACTATGTTTAGGAGGAGTGGTACTCAAAATTATTAAACACGGGTACAGTCAACTAGGATAAAGCTACCACCACCACCTCGGTCAACACAAACTGGGATAAAATCACTCCCACCTACTCAACATGTAAACGGGGATGAAAACCACCCCCACCTACTCTTAGAGAATTTCCGATACTTTCGATTTGATTTGATGTCCAAAGGGTTTGGAAAGCATGGGGGGAGGTGATATTCTGGATGAGTATAGAGTATATAGATTCTGTGGGTATAGAGTGAAAAGTTTGAAAATTCGGTGGCCTGTCCACCATGGGTTGGCATGTGTGTGTGTCGTTTGTTTGGGTGTGTGGTATGTTGGGTTGTCGGTACATTATTTCCGATATTGTCGCTGCGGTGCGTTGTATTGTTTACGTTCTCCAAGGACTGGGCAGAAAGTCGTCAGTCGGCCGTCATCCGCCACGGGGAAAAGACGCTTGTTCCTTTATTTCTTGTGTTATAACCCATACACCGACAGTTCCCACTAGCACTGTCAACGACAAGGCTACGAAGAGGTAGGTTTACACGTATTTAACAACATCAACTCGATTCCTCCATTTAATAATTACTGTAATGTATAAATTTGACTTAAATGTAGACTAGTGCGTTTATATAACAGCTATATTTGCATGTATAATGATAATAATTTGTTCACAAGAAGGTACAATGAGTTGGTGAGATTACATAAGATTGGTATTTTTACATTCTTGCAAAGCCACTAATACGCATACCGTTTTGGACAGGTCCTTAATCTAACATATCAGGTAAGATGCAAAGGTACATTGTAGCAAGGTTTTATATCGACAAATAACTACAATATAAACTGACAAGAGGTGATTACACTGGTAAGGATATATGTCTTAAGTACTAATATTGGGGAAGTGGGAGTGCAAGATATAAGTGTGAGTTTGAAGCACGGTAGGAAACTACCTTGTTATTGGGAATAATAATTCCAACGTCAACAAAGTAAGTTCGGCTTAAAGAATATATCGAAATTTATTTACTACTCAATTTGTTATGTTTTTATGTATCAAAAGCTTTGCTAAAGTTGAATGCGACACCAACAATCGTCTCGTAAAATGGATACTCGTAAATCCATTTGCAAAATTATTTCAAGGTCTTTTTATTTATTTATTTATTTATTTATATATATACAAGAAGGTACATTGGTATTGTGAGGATACATAGCATAGTAATTACATTCTTGTAAAGCCACTAGTACGCGCAGCGTTTCGGGCAGGTCCTTAATCTAAGAAACTTATAAGTAGGTAAATACTTGCAAAATTTATAAAAATGATAAGTTACATAGCATGAACAAAATAAAAGATGAGAGAAAAATTGTAGGTACTGTATATTAAAGCACATAGGTAGCTCAGAATGAATTGCAATTGGATTGTCTTGGAATAATGGTTAGTGTAACCTAAGATCAAGACAGAAGTATAAAATGTACTATAGATAATGACACAATATTTTGCTTTAGACACAGAATGAAGTGTTGCAATAAGAACACTTATTGCTAGCCTTGCTCCAATGAGACCTCGCTTGACGTTTGTGCAGTGTTATGACGAGGGTGGCCCTAACTAGTGTAACATAATCTATTGAAAACAGATGTACCTGTTAGGTTTTTGTCAGTTGGGATCCTAGAGTGCTGTCAGACGCATGACTGATTAATACAATGTAAGCGCCTGGCTAGTTTTAAGAAAAGTTAGTGAGTAAATCGGTTACAGACGGCCAGAAGGTTACATATATTTTATGACTATGTAAGAGATTGGTAGTAGCTGGAGGATTGTCAGATAACTGATTTTGTTGTTAATTTGAAAGATGAAACACCAAGCCTATCGCGAAACGAGTGACGTCAATCACTGGAAACTATTATGCCTCGCGGCAAAGAAACGTAAACGGGTAGATGATTGGGGAGTCCCAGGAGTCCCTCAGGGTGACAAGCACCGGCCCCGCCCCACACAGAGAACACTGGGTAACAAAATCAAAACTCGGACCCCATCTAAAACGAAAAAGTCATCTACTGCTCTCCGGCAGAGCAGAAACCAGCCGCCCACCACGACTGAGGGCACACCAGGAGCCCACAAAGACCCACCAACCCCCGGCACCTCTCGGCCAAGTCGGCCCCTGGAACAACGTAGTCACCCCGCCGGGAGAACCAGCCAGAACACGTAAAAAAAAAGTATCAACAATCCCGTGACCCAAGGCGATATGTGCGCCAGGTGTCGTACAACCGGACCGTTGAACAGGGATGCCAAACGGCAGTAGCAAAGCCCAAACACGAAAACAGGACGTGGTCCGGCGGCTCCCAGGCGGAAGTGTCCAGACGTCCGTTCGTCGTCAGGTTGAACCAGGAGTCCGTCAGATAACTGTTGCAGTATGATAATTTGAGCTCCTCTGGGGCAGCGTAAGAACGCGGATTCAATTTGTAGCTGGACTGTGTCTATGGAGGATGTATACAGGAGTTTACGTGAGGGCCATTAATACTAGTGGCCTCGACGAGGACAGGAAGCCGGCGGTTTGTCAAAGGTCCCCTCATTTACCCTGATGATCTTTTCCAGTTGTATTTTAATTCAACAGTTTTGGCATTTACTGCTTCGGCGGGTAGGCAATTCCATGGGTTTATAACCCTACGGGTGATAAAAATTATCTCCTGTTCTCAGACCTACATTGTGGCTTGTTGAGCATGAAACCGTAGCTACTCGTTCGTGTTGTATCTGACCTTTTGAATCAATTTTCCGGGTCAACATCCCGGAAAATTGTTCAGTATTTTAAAATTTTCAATGAGATCCGCCCTGTCATGCCTTGTTTAGTGTTAGCCCTGTGGCCCTCAACCGTTCCTGATACGAGAGATGACTTTGCTCTGGAATGATTTTTGTTGCCCGGTTTTGCATCTTTTCAAGAGCAGCTGTGTCTTTCTGAAGATAGGTCTCCACGCCTGCATGGAATAATCCAGGTGGAGGCACACCAGAGACTTATACAATTGAATGACTACCTTCTTTTACAGGTAAAGGTACGCTTGATTATTCCAAGGGTTTGGTTAGTTTATTTATTTATTTATTTATTTATTTATAGAAGAAGTTACATTGGGTTTACGAGAGTACATAGCATGATGTGTTTACATTCTTGTAAAGCCACTAGCAAGCACAGCGTTTCGGGCAGGTCCTTAATCTAACGGATAATATTAAGTATGTAATTTCTAGCAAAATATATAAAATGTTAACAGGTATATTGTAAGAAAATTTGAGAGAGATTAGCAAGTATATTAAAGTACATTAAAGCACATTGAAAGCTTTGATTGATATGACAAAGATTAGTAGGCACATTAAATTTATTTATTTATTTATATACAAGAAGGTACATTGGGTTTATGAGAATACATAACATAAACTATTAAAGCACACTGATAGCACATATAAGATGACAGCAGTGTTTAATGGTAAAGTTATATGGCTTAGGTACATATATTGGGGGATTGGGTAGCACAAAATACAGATACAGTGGATACAGATACAGATTATAAACTCGCACTGGATAGTGAGCGAGTTTAAAGAACTAGGTAGGAAACTATGAAGATGAAATTAGGAACTTTTTGAAATTAGGAAGCTCAATGTAGGAAACTACGAAGATGAAATTAGGAACTTTTTGGTTTTATTTTTTTAATAAGGCAAAAGTTGGACAGCTTTTCAATTCGTTAGGGAGTGAGTTCTATGGACTAGGTCCCTTTATTTGCATAGAGTGCTTACACAGATTAAGTTTGACTCTGGGGATATCAAAGAGATATTTAAGTCTGGTGTAGTGATTATGTGTTCTATTACATCTGTCCAGGAAGAGTTTCAGACCAGGGTTTGCACTTAAGAAAAGGGTTTTGCAAATGAAATTGACACAAGAGAATGTGTGGAGTGAATTTATGGTTAGCATGTTTAGGGATTTAAACAGGGAAGCTGTGTGTTGTCTGAAAGCAGAGTTTGTTATTGTTCTGATAGCAGATTTTTGCTGGGTGATGATGGGCTTGAGGTAGTTTGCAGAGATTGAACCCCATGCACAGATACCATAAGTAAGATAGAGATAGATAAATGCATAATATAATGAGAGGAGGGCAGAGTAGGGTACATAATATCTGATCTTAGAGAGTATACAAACTGTTTTAGATTTAGTTATGTGTTGTATGTCGATGCTGAAGTCGAGTCTCTTGTCTAAGTATAGGCCAAGGAACTTTCCATCATTTTTATTGCTGATGTTAACATTGTCTATCTGAAGCTGAATTGCATTTGTTGATTTGCTTCCGAATGAGATGTAGTAGGTCTTTTTTATGTTTAGTGTGAGTTTGTTGGTTGACATTCATAAGTGGACTTTTTTTTAATTCATTGTTTACAACATTATTTAATATGAGTGGGTTGGGATCTGAGTAGATGAGAGTAGTGTCATCAGCAAACAATATAAGTTTAATTATGTTAGAGACATTAGGCAGATCATTGATGTATATAAGAAATAGGAGGGAGTCCTAGGATGCTGCCCTGTGGCACCCCTACGGTTAATAGTAGAGTGGGAGAGGTTATATCATTGATGGCTACATATGGTGTCTGTCACTAAGATAGGATCAGACAAATTTCAGAGCAATGCCTCAGATTCCATAATGGTGGAGTTAAAGTAAGAGGTAGTTATGGTTAACAGTATCAAAAGCCTTTCTCAGGTTAATGAAGACTCCAACTGGAAACTCACTTTTGTCAAGGGGTTGATTAAATTAAGCAGACTAACAATTGCATCATTGGTGCTCTTTTGGGAGCGGAAGCCAAACTGACAGGGACTTAGTATATTGAATTTTACGAGATATGAGTACAGCTGTTTGTAAGTAATTTTTAAAAATATTTTTGATAATATAGGTAGATTATAGGTAGGTTTTGATAATATAGGTATTATTATAACTGTTGCACCCACTTGTGCAACTTTCAATGAATAATGGATTCAGACTCAAAGGTATTTTGTTGACTGTTGGGATTTCATCTCGGATAAGTCCTTGTTTCTCTTTTATGTACTATGACCATCTTTCTTATTTAAGAACTGTAATAACTGTATGCAACTTCACTCCTCCTCCGCGTTTGTCATGCTTTGTGGGAGTAAGGCTGAAGAATATTTCTATGTACCGCGGCATAAGTGACATTCCAAGTGTGCCTCCTTCAGAGGTGTAGGCCTGCCTAGAGAATTTTGTTTGTGAGCCTTTATTCCTGTCAAAGGGGGACACGATCGTAACGTAAAAGTCAGCGGGCAGTGCAAGGGGTTTTGGCTGGGGAATGGGAGGGGGGGGCCGAAGAGTTATGTAATGAAATCAAAGTATAATTGTACATGCATTACTTTGTGCTCGGTGTGGGGGATCTAATCGTAACCTTTTGAGAGACCAATTTTGGGAGCAACTTCAATGGGGGCCGTGCCTTGATTCACCCTGCCTTGGGGTTGGGCTTGCTAGATTGTGTGTGTTGAGTTGGTAAGGCAGCCCAAGAGGCTATTTATTTTGCGCAGTACCGTGGCAAAATAAACTTGATTAAACCATAATGGTACAATTTTCTAGGGTTAGCTACGCTATTCTACATTGTAGTCTAAAATTGTTTTACCATTCTGCAGAACAGAATCGGAACTGCATGTCACGGGACTGTGATATTCGTTATCCGACTTTACCGGAGGGCCACAGGGCTAACTACACTGCAGACCTGGCATGAGAGGACACATCTCGTTGAAACTTTTAAAATATTGAATAATTTGATGGATGTTGATCCGGAAAATTTCTTCAAAATATCAAATACAACAAACAAAGGTTAACGGTTTCAAGCTAAACAAGCCACAATGTAGGACTGAGAGGAAGAGGTGCAGGCCTTTCCCAGGATGTAACCCATAAAAGTTGCCTGACTACCTGCATGCATGGTACCTATTTTACTCCTAGATGCTTTTTTACCCACAGGGTTATAAACCCATGGAACCGCCTACCCGCAGAAGCCGTAAATTGCCAAGACTTAAAATTTAAAGTACAACTGGAAAAGATCATAAAGGCAAATTAATGGGGGCGGAGGATCTTCAACAAGCCGCCGGCTTCCTGTTCTCGTCGAGGCCACTTGTGTTAGTGGTCCTCAGGTAATGACGAATATCACAGCCCCGTGACACGCAGTTCCGGTTTTGTACTACAGAATGTAATTAAATTTTGTTTATACCAACGTAGAAATAATGTATCTCACCCTAAGAAATAGTGCAAGTTGTACCTGCCTCACATAGGTCAGTACAGTGTTGCTTTCTGATAATGTTCACTCCGTATGTTGAGCTTTGTATACTAATACACGTGACATAACAAAAAGAATACCACACCTACCCCGTTCGTGCCGTTGTTGGACATGATCTGAATGTCAATTTGTTCGCCGTGATGTGTCCAGGACCCCATCCTGACCAGACAACTGTGCTCGTCACTTGGCCAATTGGTCAAGTCGAGGTCACATTTGACGACGAGGTGTGTGGGCGGGAACCAGTAGGTCTGACCCACGCTGTTGGCCAACACCGGAACACGCCCGAACGGATGCACATCCGAACCCTCAGCGCTGTGGAACAACGTTTGTCAATATAATACAATTCTTATTGTCGAAGCCAGGAAGCCTGTACTTAAATTAGAGATTCCCCTAGACTAACTACAGGCCTTTCCCAGGATGTAACCCACAAAAGTTGCCTAACTACCTGCATGAATGGTACCTATTTTACTCCTAGGTGAATAGAGGCATCTGGTGAAAGGAACCCCAGCCAACCATTTCCGTCCTGATCCCCGGCTCAGTTGTGAGCCGAAGATTGTCCTACAAACCCATTAATAGACAGCGAAGTTATTTAAAAATTAAAACAAATATAAGCACAAATATTTCACTAGCATCAGTGAATATGATCACACTAGAAGACTGGAGGTTAACCTGTTGTAGACGCTGATGTCCGGCATCCAGATGTCGTCGTCGTCGAAGTGGATGCGGTCGAGGTTGATGTAGTTCTTGGGTTCCCACCTCAGGTACTCGTCCACCCATGTCTGTGGGAAACAGTGCAGTCATACTAATTACGCCGTTCTAAGGACACTGTAAGTCAATTCTCATACCAGGAACGGTTAAGGGCCTCAAGATTAACAACACTATATCAGACATGACAGGGCGGATCTCATTGAAACTTAAAATACTGAATCATTTGCAGTGCCTGAAACGCTACGCATACTAGTGGCTGTACAAGAATGTAAGAACTCTTGTATATTTAAATAAATAAATAAAAAAAATGTCGATCTACAGAATTTCTTCAAAAGGTCAGGTGTAGTTTTTAACATTAACAACGAGGAAATACAAAGGTGTATTTTAGTAAAGCCGCTAGAACATATCGTAACGTACAGTAAATTAGTAAAATTGGAAGGCGTTAGGTTAGTTAATTTATTATGCACCCCATACCCATCTTGTGGGCGGTAGTGGAAAGGGTTACAGAGGCACATAATGGGCTCAGGGACTGAACCCAACAATTCATTTAGCTAAGCAAGTTACAATCTTGATGAGCTAGTTACAAAATTCAGTGCATATCGTCACATCAACAATGGGCACGAGACCGACTACAAGTACAATTTCTAAATTAAGCAACTGACATGTGGGGAGAGCTAGTGTCACAATAATTTATATGTTTATCCTGCACACCGCCCCCCCCCCCCATCCAGTGGGCAGCGGTGGATAGGTTATAATAAGTTAGTCTCCTAAGACCTAGGTGAATAGAATAGGTTACAATCACTCGGTTACTACCTACAGTTAGCAAACTGGGGATGTAACGAATATAATTGTCATTGATGTCTTAATGTGTTAGTAGTTTATATACAGTCACAGTCTGGATACTGGGCTACTGAGAAACATTTATGGATGCGTCATTAAGGTGACAGCTGTCGGTCAACACATGTCTCTTGACTCGCTCTAGATTTGATTAAAATGTTTTCCAAACTGGTATTTCGTGGGCGAATATAATGCGTAAGCTGAAAGACAGAATTCTGCTAATCTGCTAATATACTGGAAAGGTTATGAGCAATAATAATTAAGAAATTTATATTTATAATTTATATTATAATTTAGAAGTGAGAATTTGCACCAAGGAACAGCGGGATCGATTGATTGATGAAGATTAAACCACCCAAGAGGTGTCACGGGCATTAATAGCCCGTAAACGGGAAGTAGAGGAAAGGGGTTATACTGTATACTCACCATAATAGACCAGGCGTTCACAGACAGCTCTTGGCGTACATCATCCTAGGAAGGAAATATTGTCACATAAGCACATTTGATATAATTAATATTGAAGCCTGAGTGCGCAACCCATTCTCTTGGTTAGATAGTACATTTTGTAACTATGTGGGCCACCGTACATATAGTGACGTGATGGATAATTAGATTTAGTAGAATTTGGTACTATTCAGTTTATAGTCCGGAAAAATAAAGTTAAAACAAAACTTAAATATTCCTAGGCCTAGTATAGCAAATATATGTACTATATTAGGCTTCAGATAATAGTGTGTATCAGGCCTAGTAATAATACCTGGGTTAGGTATTATTTACAATATAAATACAAAACTTTCCGGTTTGTCCAAATATATTCTATTTTCAAATTGTCCATTACGTCAATATATGTACGGTGGTCCATGTGGTTACTATAGTACTGTCAAGGGAGGAGAGGCTAGGCTACCATATATACAGGTAATACATTGCATTTATGTACCTAAAGTGTTCATTTCCTCGATAAACGATCAACTGACTTGTCTGGTCTTCAATTAGTTTATTTTTGACAAACTTTATTTGAAATAAAATAAAAAATATAGGAATTATATTTTACTTTGAGAGAAGTATTACATTTTTAAATATTTAATTGTAGAAGTGTGCTTACCTAACAGTGTTTATAGAGAAGTGAGGTTTAGTTGTTAATTGTGGCTTAATATCCTTTACACAAGAAATATTTTCTCGCAGCCATGTGTCTCATCTGCGTAACTGCTATAGCATGTCCTCGAGTTACTTCAAGTCCACTCCTTTTTTATGCGTCCAGTGTCGACAATTTTAATTAACTCAGTTTCTCCTTTATAGTTAAATGCCCTCAATTTTTGGGTCAAGTTTTGTATCAAACCTCTGTACTTTCTCAATCTTTTGAGTGTTATCTTGTGGTGAAGGCTCCACGCAAGTGCTGCGTATTTTAATGCTGGTAGAACATGTTCTGTAAAGTGCTTTGAAGGCATCCTTGGCTCGGCCCCTGAAGGCTGTCCCAAAGTTCATCAGCTCAACACGTAATGCTGATGTGATTATTGTTGTGTGTGACTCCTGAAGAAGGTTTGGTGTCGTCTACTGCAAGATGCTGACACCGGTAAGTTCCTCTATGCCATTATATATTGTTACTCAGACCTTATTCCTGTTTTTGTCCTAATGATGTTGCACTTATATGGGTTGAAGTCCAGTAACCACTTTTCCGACCATAACTAACTTCTCAATCTTACTGGAGCTTCCTGCAGTTCCCTGCAGTTCTTGTTTGTTCTGATTTTCATTATGAACTTTGCGACATTATACTTTAAAAGTATCATGCATGAAAGATAGTTACGAATAAAAGATAAGGAAGTAAATTACCAAATGTCACAGACGAGATATACAGATACACTGACGTAACTCAAAATTAAGATCGGCACTAGAGAAACAAAAAATATTTTTGGAATTTCGTATACATACCAAATGAGATCGATAGATAGTGTACAGACAAGGAATTCTACATATCAAATGAGAGAGACACAGGCCGACCTGCCGACCCACCTACCAGGTGGATGTAGTTAAGAGAGAGACCAAGATAGACGGTGGTGTTGTGGGTGTGGTCCAGGACGGGTCTCGACTCCTTGTTGTAGCCTTTGAGCTTATCCTTGTAGAGTCGCGAGATCCAGTTGTCCTTGTCGAAGTTGTCCTGGTCCGGCGCTCTGCTGCCTGTACCTATAGGAGAGCGACCGTGAGTAGGAGAGGGGATGGTGTTGACGGTTTAAGAGATAAACAAAGTATAGTATACATTGACGCATACAAAGTTAGCGAACATTATCGCGTTGAGCGAACTGGAAGGGGAACTAAGATGGACTATATCCGTTCATGATTTCAAAATCAGATATGACCAGAAACAGTGGAATCGGGAGTCATTGCACTAGATGGTCTAAAGTTGAAAAAAGTGGGGCCTAAGAGTTGAAGCTCTGGTCTGGAAACTGTCAAGTAAGAAGTGTTTGGTAATAACATATGGTTCACAGAGATCCAACATTGGATAGCGTGTAAGGAGAAATATATCACATGTGTGGTACACACTAAGATTTGACTCGAGCGTATGAGTGTAGTATGTGTTGTCTGCCTTATCTCTTCTGACTCAACGAGCCGTCTATACCTCGCTGGGACGGTCTCTGTGAACCGCGTGTTATTACCAAACACTTCTTGACAGTTTTCAGAACAGAGCTTCGGCTCTTAGGCCCCACTTTTTCAACTGTCGACCATCTACTGCAATGACTCCCGATTCCACTGTTTCTGGTCATACAAGATTCTGAAACCATGAACGGATACAGTCCATCTTATTTTCCCCTTCTAGTTCACTCGTTTACTGGTAATACACTGAAGAAAGGTTTCCTCGCAGCCCTGTGACTCATCTGTGTGTCTAGTTCCATACATGTTCTCTCATTCTGCTCACCCTAACAGTGTCTCGATTTTATGGTAACACCTAAGAACTTTGTATGCCTATATAATGTTCCCTTTGGCCATTCTTTCGTGTTCTTAGGTTAAGTTCCATTTAGTCTATCACCGTACAGTTCGGCCACTATTCAGATATATGCTACATATAGGGAATGGATATGCGTCTTGGTTTAAATTTCTGAATGTTGCCCTAATGTTCACTAGCTTAACATATGCTGCTGATTTGATTTTTATTGATGTGTGCCTCACTCGGTCGTCTGGTCTCCTTAATGCAGTTCCCTTCTTCGTGCTTTTGAACATACCTGTGTTGAAGTCTAATAACCACCATCGCTACTTAAGTCTTCCTGGAGCCTATAGTTCCCGTGTTTCCTGATTTTCATCAGCTTTGCATCACCAGCGATCAGTGACAAGAGTCTAGTTCCTCTGGTGTTATATATGAATATTAGTAGTATTATGGGCTCCCAACACTCATCATTGAGGGATTCAGCTAATACCTTTTGCCTCTGTTACTTTGTTTCCTATTTCCTGGGGAATTTCCCTACAAATTTAGTATTCTACCTAGTTCGTTATCGTTTTCAGGAGCCTCTTATGCGGCACAGTCAAATATTTTTTTTACATATAATCTAATAGTATTGAGTCCACCCAACCTCGCTTTTCTCCTCTGATCTGTCATTCTATCATAGGACTTCACTAGATTTTTGTAGTATGATTTCCATTCTCTGAACTCGTATTGATATTTTGTTATAAAGTTACTTATATATCTATAGGTGTCCAATTATTGTCTTCCTTACTATTGTTTCTTCACACAGGTTCTTAGGGACGTTGGTAGGTAGCCTAGTGCATGTTCTGTTATATTTGACTTGTACTTCCTCCTCCATCTATCTAACACTACCTCTGTCTCTATGATTCATTGTAGATATATACTTGAGTATATACAAATATACAGTATATATGTATATACAAATATACTTGAGAAGACGTATAGGTTAGGTATCGTCTCCAAAGAATTACTCATCATTGCTATCTAAAATAATTAGAAGAGCCAAAACTAAATACTACGAAGATAAATTTACCCACACAATGGGCAACATTAAGAAAACATGGAGCACAATTTCACAAATATTGGGATCAAAGAAGATTTTAAATAACAAACCAATACTCCTGTCTAATAACGATGGTAAGCTTACAGCCTCTGATACTGCTATTGAGTTCAATAGGTTCTTCTCTTCCAATGGGTCATCCCTTGCAAATGATATTCCATCTTCCAGTACTGATGTTCAGGACTATCTTACAGGTAACTATCCACAGTCTCTGTACCTAACGCCTGCAAATTCCACTGATGTTAATGAGATAATCCTTTCCCTTAAAACCAAGTCAAATGCCCTTGAGGAGATACCAACTTTAATTTACAAAAAAGTCTCCAGATCTTTAGCTCCTGCTATTGCATTGCTCTTCAACAAGTCACTTGAACTCCAAACCTTTCCAGATATTCTAAAAAAAATAGCGAGAGTAACCCCTGTCCACAAATGTGGTGATCTCACAGATGTTAACAACTACAGACCTATATCAATCCTGCCAAACTTGTCAAAAATACCTGAAAAACTAATCTACAAGCAGCTTTACTCTTGTCTAGCTAAACACAATATACTTAGCTCTTGTCAATATGCCTTCAGACCCAAAAAAGCACTAACGATGCACTTATTAGTATGATTAACTTGATACATGCAGCTCTTGATAAAAATCAGTTCCCTGTTGGATTATTTGTGGACCTGCGTAAGGCTTTTGACACTGTCAACCACCAAAACCTTCTTCTTAAATTACATCATTATGGAGTCAGAGGACACTCCCTGCAATACCTCAAATCTTACCTTACTGACAGGCTCCAGTATGTTTCTGTGAATAATTCAATTTCTCCCACCCTACCCCATGAACATTGGTGTTCCTCAGGGCAGCATACTTGACCCTCTCCTCTTTCTCATCTACATTAATGACCTTCCAAATGCCTCCCAACACCTCAAACCAATTGTATTTGCTGACGACACAACCTTCATTTACTCCAGTCCTGACCCCCTTGCTCTAAATGCCACAGTAAATACTGAGCTAAATAAAGTCCATCTTTGGCTAACTGCCAACAAACTCACCCTCAACATTGACAAAACTTTCTGTATTTTGTTTGGCAATAAATCTTCAAATCAAATAAATCTCAGGATAAACAATACCCAAATTTGTAACAAAGTAAATGGCAAATTCCTTGGCGTTCTCATTGATCACAAGCTGAATTTCCAGGGACACATTCTAAATATATAAAAAAAAGTTTCAAAAACTGTTGGCATTCTTTCTAAGATCAGATATTATGTACCCCGCCCTGCCCTGGTGACGCTCTATTACTCTCTCGTCTATCCATATCTCAACTATGGTATTTGTGCTTGGGGTTCTACTACCCAAAATCATTTACGTCTTCTAATTACTCAACATAAAGGTGCTGTTAGGATAATATCTAACTCTGGCCCCAGACATCACTCGGTACCCCTACTCAAATCTCTGAATATGTTAGATATTAAGTCACTGCACATCCTCTCATGTATATATATATATATATATATATATATATATATATATATATATATATATATATATATATATATATATATATATATATATATATATATATATATATATATATATATATATATATATATATATATATATATATAAAACGCTGAACTGTAATGTCAATCCTGACCTTAAAAGCTTCATTGAAGGTTGTAACAGAACCCATGAGCACCACACAAGAAACAAATACCTTTTTGATATTCCAAGAGTTCGACTTAATCAAAGTAGAAATGTTCTACAAATCAAAGGACCCAGAATGTGGAATGACCTTCCCAATCATGTTAAAGACTGTACCTCTCTCAACCAGTTTAAGATAAAAACTAGGCACTACCTAATTAACTCCCTGTAACCTACCTTACCCCTATAATGTTAACCCATGTCTGCTGTTTATTTAAACAATGCTGTTTGTCGACCAAATTCTATTTTTTTGCTGTTATTCTGCCATGTTCCCCCCTTTTTTATTTTTATATTTCTCAACACATTTTATACTCTAATCTCAATTAGCATTAAGTTTTAGTCTTTAGTGTTTTTCCTGCCCGAAACGCTTTGTGTAATAGTGGCTTTAGGCATTGTATGTACTAGCTCTATCTATAAATTCATCAATATTTGTATCACACCCTGTATGTATGTACTTTATCTGAATAAACATTTGAATTTGAATTTTTTTTAGATCACCGAGTGACTTACCCAGAATTTCAGCTGTTAGGATCCACAGCCTACACTGGCAAACTTTGGGTAGAGCACAAGAATATCTTCCAATATTCGTGAGTTTATGGTGTAATTACAGATCTCAAAGTATTTCATTCCATTTGATCTGAAGTCATAACAGAGCACTCACAATTATAGTGTGGGAGTGTGCCCTAGCTCTTGTTCACATAGTTTACAATTGGAGTGCTCACATTGGGGGGGAAGATTCATTACCTGCAGCCACCTGCCATAAGTATCGATATCCCAGCCTAATTCTGCCAATTACATTGTCACACTGTCTAGTGGGTGTTTTCTGCTGCCCGTATGTATAATTCTCAATTCTAAACATTTTACTAGTAATTTTTGCCCTTACAAAGAATGTTAGAACCAACACGGTTAGAAATATGTGTACATATTGTGGACATGACGTACCTCGGGCAGGCGAGAGGTATCCAGCCAGCAGCGCCAGGATAAGCACCTTCATTATTGAGAGGTGATGATGTAGGTGTGTCATGAACCAGTAGGGTGAGGACGGCCTCAGTGTGCGTGTGGCGCAATTGTCCGCAACTGATGTTATCTTCGTCACCCACATCTACACCTCACACTTTCTTTCAATATAACCTCAAACGAGATTAGTTCTATTTCCATGTTGTCACAACGTCTAGTTTCCCAGAAAAGCTGCCGTTGAGGTGATTAGGGTGTTATCAAAGGTTATCTTATCTCGGCCAACTTTGGTCCTGTCAGCTTATCATTCCTGATATATTTCACGTGGCCTCGTGGCATCCAGAAATGATTAGGTTTTGTGGCATTGTATTAAGAAAATAATGAATGCGCCTTCGGGAATTGGAAGAGAATGCCTTGAGGATGGGTTTGTCCTACTCCAGTTCTAAAGTTTGACCGTGAAAATACAGTTAATGAAGTGAATCACAGTCGTCCTTTTGTATGTTGTGATTAAATACTCGGGCCATGAATTGTAACAGGTTGGGTTGCTCAGCGGTATATTTTCCCCAAAGATGTAATGTGATCCACGATTCAAATTACAACCAGGTTCCAAATTACTGTTGGGTGTACATAAGCGAATAGTAAAAAATAACTAATAAGACGTCCCCACTCTGTCCAGGCTTCCAACTAGGGTCGTTAACTCGTGCAACAGCCCGTCCTCTCGAGCGGCGATAATGTCACTGAACCGATGTACTAAATTGCGCGAACCTAACCTAACCGAGGAACCACGGACAGAAAACGGGATATGTCATTTTGCTTGTGTTTTAATGCACAGTACAAATACAATTGACATTATTTAATACAGAAACTTTTAAATATTTTAATAAAAGGACCTCCTCAGTGGTGCCCCACGACACATTAGAGGGCGGTGCAGATGATGGGAGATTCACGGTGCAAACAAGTAAAAGTCAGCGCCGTAAGTAGTCGAGAAGGGCACGATCAAACCAACGAAATTCGGCTGCTGCCAGACATGTACGGCTAGATTTTCCTCTGGGAACCACATTAGAGGGAAAAGTGCAGTGGTTTTGTGAAGCCTCTGAGGCACATTATGATAAGGTCATTAAGTTACCTAGAGATGAAAGTGACTATGTCTTCGTTACAAACGACAGTGCTTTTGTAAATGTGTTGCTAAACACAGAGTATGCAGGCATTAAGATGAAAAATGCAGCACCTAGGTGTCCAAAAGTAACCATTGTCATATTCAATGTTAATAAACTCATTAAGCCTGTATATCTCTGTAATGAAAATATTATAAACCCTAAACGTCTGAGAAATGGCCTCATAGCTGCCACATGGAAAGGTGCCACGCCTATACCGGACAGAATTTGCTCTAGAGCAGCTTTAGGTCGGCACTATAACATAGCACTCTACAACCCTCCCCCTCGTAGGTGTTATAAGTGTCAACGATGGGGACGTCACGTAGCCAGGTACTGCATAAGCAAAAACTATTTTTGTGCCATGTGTGGTGAACCTCATAAATCTGAGGTCTGTTTTAAGCTCATAAAGGAACTGCAGTCAGTAAGTGAAAAATGCATAAACTGTGGCAGGAGCGGTGTTCAAGCCTGGCACCTTAACTGTGTAGAGCCATCTGGACGTTGTGTTCGTAGCAGCTGGATACCAAATACTTCACCATCTGCCAAGCACCAAGTGCATCACGGGGCCAGACGACTATAGGTTTCTGTTCAACCTGCGCCTGTCCGTCAGGTGTCAACACCTGCCACCCGGAGGTGTTGACACAACACTCGCCATCCCCTTCACACTATCATGAAGATCAGTTGCCAAATGCTGCCATCAGTCCGACTCGCTGTTCAGAGCCATCTGGAGGTGATGATCGCTCCAGCTGGCTACCAAACTCACCATCTTTTAATTACGAAGTGCACAAGGGGACCGGTACCAGACGGAAGACTCCTGCCATCATCCCAGCTCCCCCACAAGAACCAGGTGCTGCATCTTCTGCCAGTGGTGGGCCTGCCCCTGATGTAGAGTGGCCACTTCCTGGTTCTGGGATAATGTCACCTACTGTGAGACCACCATCCACAGCTGGACACCACAGTCAACTGGAAGTGGGGGATAAGGAACTGGATCAAAATGAGACAGATCGTAACGTCAGCCTCCCTACCACCTCGCTCTTGGGTTGCTCCACTGTTCAAGCAGCGGCTGCCCTTCATGACCGGTTCAGGAACACCAGCAGCAGTCACAGCAGCAAACGGAGCGGCAGCAAAAGCAGCTCGATCCAACACGAGAAAAAATCCACCAGCAACATTGCAATGATGCTCACGTGTGTGAGGGAACTTGCAAGCAATGACTGCCAAACCTCCCCTTTCACCCCTGAACCCTCCTAACATGTGTTCGCTTGCCAATCAGGGAAAACTTCTAGTGACCTTGAAACTTTGTGTAGTGGAGCTCTTCCACGCAGGTTGACTGCCCAAGCTGTGCTAAAGTATGCTCAAGACGACTCTATAGATGAAAATAACAGAGAAATTGTATTAGACAATTGGAGGCAATTAAATGTGTGACATTGGTAATTAGCTAAGAAATGTAAACTGTACTTGTGGTCGATCTCGAACCCATTGTTGATGTGACGACTTATATTGAATTTTGTAACTAGATCATCAAGATTGTAACTTGCTTAGCTAAATGAATTGTGGAGCTCAGTCCCTGAGCCCATTATGTGCCTCTGTAACCCTTTCCACTACCACCCACGAGATGGGTATGGGGTGCATAATAAATGAACTAAACTAAACTAACTAAAATGTTCCTGAACTTATATCGTATTGAAATAAATAATGGGCACTGCTTTCCTCGGAAAGCGGGGGAATTTCTGGTAGTGGAGAAAGACATTTGCACAGCGCTTTCTGCGAAGTATGGGCGGCATATTTAAGGGAATGGAAGCGGGGTCCCGTCCTCACTTACGCAGCTGCCTCTTTTTGATATATCAAAAAATATATCTCTTTTTATATATCTCTTTATATATATATTTTTATATATTTATAAAAGAAATATATATATCTCTTTTTAATATTGATATATCTCTTTTTGATATATAAAAAAAGTTTCAAAAACTAATTCAAAAAATCAAATTCAAATGATGGCATTGTTGGCATTCTTTCTAAGATCAGATATTATGTACCTCGCCCTGCCCTGGTGACGCTCTATTACTCCCTCATCTATCCTTATCTCAACTATGGTATTTGTGCTTGGGGTTCTACTACCCAAAATCATTTACGTCCTCTAATTACTCAACACAAAGCTGCTATTAGGACAGTATCCAACTCTGGCCCCAGACATCACTCGGTACCCCTACTCAAATCTCTGAATATGTTATAGATATTAAGTCACTACACATTCTCACATGTGTATTATACATATATAAAACGCTGAACTGTAATGCCAATCCTGACCTTAAAAGATTCCTTGAAGGTTGTAACAGAACCCATGAGCACCACACCAGAAACAAATACCTTTTTGATATTCCAAGAGTACGACTTGATCAAACTAGAAATGCTCTACAAATCAAGGGACCCAGAATGTGGAATGGCCTTCCCAATCATGTTAAAGACTGCTACCTCTCCCAACTAGTTTAAGATAAAAACTAAGCACTACCTAATTAACTCCCTGTAACCTACCTTAACCCTAAAATGTCAACCCATGTCTGCTATTTCATGGGTACCATTCCTCCTCCCCGTCCCATCCCAAATCCTTATCCTGATCCCTTTCCAGTGCTATATGTAGTCGTATTGGCTTGGCGCTTTCTCCTTGATAGTTAGTTCCCCCCTTCTGTAGGATCTCGAAGGTTCGGGAAGGTCGTCGCTTCTTCCCGTATTATTGGAACGTGTCTTCCGGTGAGGCTTACCTCCAGTCCTTTCTTGTATTCGTTGGTCCTATTCCGTGTTTCTTCTTGGTTTTCAGTACTATCTCGTTCTTTTGTAATTATATCTTCTCTCCATGCTCTGTTTCGGCACTTCTAATTTTCCTTAAGGGGGCCTTATTTCCAAATATGCCAAAAATATGCAATACTGCACATGCAAACTAGTTCTATTTCAATCAGACATTTTATTTGGGCTGCGATGCTGAGACTTGGAACAGTTGCAGCCCATTTCTTGTGCAACTCGTCAAAGAAGAGAACATATTGAACAACTTATAAGAATTTAAATAATGTCCCCCTTATATACTCCTAGTTGGTGCCTTCACCGCCGGGCGGGTTGAGCGGTTCGGACCGCATGCGTCCTGCGCATGCGCCGTGGGAGTTTGCTTTGTTGTGGATTGGTCAGACCGTCCTCCAAAAATGGGGTGGTAAATGTAAGAAGACAAATAAGTGCAATTATGTACTATTCATAGCAGTTACGCATTGTACTTATTTTCACTGTATTAAATCGTAGTCAAATATATTGTGAATATTTGAGTTTACCTGAAAAACTGAATAGAAAACCACAACCTCCCCTAACCGTCTTAGTTTTTGAAGATAATAATTTTATTGCTTCTTAATTACAATTAGTACTTAACCTATAGCTATATTGATATTACAGTTTTATAAAACTAATAAAACAAAACTAAAATATATCAATAAATTGTAAAATAACTCAGGATATTTTAAAATTTTGTATAAAATCTATATTGTTTAATAAACCTGAAAAAGAAATTCCTGATATTGAAAACTTGTGCATAGCAGTTTACGACACAACAAATTACGCTATGCTCGTCCAGCCCCACAGATCAAGGAAGATGTCCCTCCAACAAAGGGTAAGAAGATACATCCACGACAGAGCCTAACCCAGCAACCTACCACAAGAGGATGAATGGCATCCACCAGCCCCATTGTACACCTAAGTCCTACGACCTGAAACCCACCGATTAAGGATTTAATAACTCCACTCAACCACCAACAACTGATTCAAAAACAAGCACAGCTCTCCAGGAAAAGCGGCGAGTAGCTACTTAATCAACCACCACCTGCACCATGGCTACTCACCGCCAGCTGATCAGGAAAAAAACGAGCCTTCTACTGACCACCATATATCACCTACACTTTCATCCATCACTTCTCATCACAATCAACCCCAAAGTGATTGGGCCACTTAACTGTAACCCCCCTCCTCGCCTTCACACCCTCCACGCTCCAGGTTGCTTCGGTTTTGGAGTTGCCTCTGCACCGCTTCGCGAGCAGTCTCTGGCGTGGTTCACCTCCAGCCTGCTCTTGTGCCTTCCTGGTTCTTGGATTGCATGCTCTTTTCTCTTCTCCTCGGTTTGTTGTGGCCCCTTCGGTTCTGGATTGTTTTCCGAGGCTCTTTTCTTGTTGGTGTTGGCCTCTGGGGGTCGGGTCGGGGTGCTTCCTGCCCTCCTCCGGTGCCTGGGTTTGGGCTCTTTTGGTTCTCCTGATAGGTTTGTTCGCTTGCAGCCGTCTCCTTCTTTTCTGGCGAAGACTGGCACGGCTGCTTTCCGGAGGGGTCCTTGGGTTGTTGATGTTTGGTTGGTCTGGCCGGGAATGCATCGTGTGTTGTGTTTGGTTGCGGCACTTCACCTTGCTTGGAGTGCCACGGCTGTCTAGACCGGGGTCACACTTTGGGTTATTCCGGGTTCCCTTCTTCCATGTTCCAGGGTGCAGTTCTCTCGGGTCGTCCACGGGGTGGTTCGGTCCTGCCAGTCTGCTGTCTGTCCCCTCGCCCTAGTCGTCCGTAGGTTGGCTCTGTGTTCCTTCGTTGCCGTTCCTGGGCCTTGTCGGGCCTGTGGGGCCTTGGGTTGGCAGTTATGGTTTGTCTCCGCTTTGCGTTTGGGAGTGTGTGATTTCCACCTCCCGGGTTAGGTCCCTCTTGTTTTCGTCTTTGGGTAGGTAGCTCCGGGGAGCCGACGGGGCTTCCCCCAGAAAACCAGTGTTGAATGGAATGAAAAGCCATTTTCTGGGCAAGTCCCGGAGGCTTTCCGGCAACCCTCCCTCCCTCTGGTCTGCGTTTTTTGCGTGCTTTTGATATCCAGCCTCAGAACTGGGGTGTGGGTGGCCAGCGCAGGGATCTGGGGCTCCCCTTTCCCCGTCCCAGGGAGGGGGCAGCTGCACAGACGGCGGCGCGGTGACGTGTGACGTCACACTCGTTTGCTCATTTCTGTTTGGAGAGTCCTGTTCACTTGTTCGGCTTTTTGTAGCAATTTTCACCAGAATAGGAGTTTGTTTTGGGGTGCCTAACCCGGTCGATGGCAGACATCGAATGCTTCCAACCACACTGGAATTTCTATAGGCCATTGCTCCATATGCCTCTGTGAGGGGGGGCCAGGTTCTGGCTCATATCCCCACAGAACTCTATACACATGACTGATGCCAAAGTCTGACATTAGCATATCAGCCTGTATAGCTCCGGGCAGCCTCCGGATTTCATTCAAAAAATGGCGTTTCATTACATTCATTACATTGCTCTTCAACAAGTCACTTGAACTCCAAACCTTTCCAGATATTCTAAAAAAAGCGAGAGTAACGCCTGTCCACAAATGTGGTGACCCCACAGATGTTAACAACTACAGACCTATATCAATCCTGCCAAACTTGTCAAAAATTTTTGAAAAACTTATATATAAGCAGCTTTACTCATATCTAGCCAAACTCAATATACTTAGCCCTTGCCAATATGGCTTCAGACCCAAAAAAAGCACTAACGATGCACTTATTAGTATGCTTAACTCGATTCATACAGCTCTTGATAAAAAGGAGTTCCCTGTTGGGTTATTTGTGGACCTGCGTAAAGCTTTTGATACTGTCAACCACCATAACCTTCTTAAATTACATCATTATGGAGTCAGAGGACACTCCCTACAATACCTCGAGTCCTACCTTACTGACAGGCTCCAATATGTTTCTGTGAATAATACAATTTCTCCCACCCTACCCATCAACATTGGTGTTCCTCAGGGCAGCATACTTGGCCCTCTCCTCTTTCTCATCTACATTAATGACCTTCCAAATGCCTCCCAACACCTCAAACCAATTCTATTTGCTGACGACACAACCTTCATTTACTCCAGTCCTGACCCTCTTGCTCTAAATGCCACAGTAAATACTGAGCTAAATAAAGTCCATCTTTGGCTAACTGCCAACAAACTCACCCTTAACATTGACAAAACTTTCTATATTCTGTTTGGCAATAAATCCTCTAGTCATATAAATCTCAAAATAAACAATACCCAAATTTGTAACAAATTAGATGGCAAATTCCTTGGCATTCTCATTGACCACAAGCTGAATTTCCAGGGACACATTCTAAATATATCAAAAAAAGTTTCAAAAACTGTGGGCATTCTTTCTAAGATCAGATATTATGTACCACGCCCTGCCCTGGTGACTCTCTATTACTCCCTTATCTATCCTTATCTCAACTATGGTATTTGTGCTTGGGGTTCTACTACCCAAAATCACTTACGTCCTCTAATTACCCAACACAAAGCTGCTATTAGAACAATATCCAACTCTGGCCCCAGACATCACTCGGTACCCCTACTCAAATCTCTGAATATGTTAGATATTAAGTCACTGCACATTCTCTCATGTGTATTATACATATATAAAACGCTAAACTATAATGCCAATCCTGATCTTAAAAGCTTCATAGAAGGTTGTAACAGAACCCATGAGCACCACACCAGAAATAAATACAGTTTTGATATTCCTAGAGTACGTCTTAATCAAACTAGAAATGCTCTGCAAATCAAGGGGCCCAGAATGTGGAATGACCTTCCCAACCATGTTAAAGACTGTACCTCTCTCAACCAGTTTAAGATAAAAACTAAACACTACCTAATAAATTCCCTGTAATCTACCTCACTCCTCTATTGTCAACCCATGTCTGTTATTTTCTTTTTTTTTTAATCAACACTGTTTGTCAACCTATTGTATTTGTGCTGCTTTTTCAGTCATGTTCCCCCTTTTTTTATCTTTATTTGTATTTGTTCTCAACACTTTTTATTCTTTATGCTCAATTAGTATTAAGTTCTAGATATTAATGTTTTTCTTGCCCGAAACGCATTGCGTAATAGTGGCTTTAGGCATTGTATGTACTAGCTCTATCTATATATCAATCCATTAATGTAACATCACTTGTATGTATATACCTTACCTGAATAAACATCTGAATCTGAAATCTGAATCTGAAACATTCAACGCTGGGTTTTTTTCCCTTGAAGTCATAGGGTTGTTGGACTATTCCTTGGGTTTGTTTGCTTCTTTTTTATACACTGTAGCTCCCATTTGTTGTGCAACTATAGTGATTGGTGGATTTTGACGCCAAGGTTCTTGTCTTCTTCAATCTGCTGTAATGTTGCCGATTTGATAGTTTTTGTGTATTATGTCCAATATGCAAGGTCTTGTTTTTCAATATTAAACAAAAATTTACCAGATTTCCAACAATTTGAGAGGTTTGTGATCTCTTTGTAAAGCCTCGGTATCATTGTCACTGCCTACTTTATCATAAATCTTAAGTCATTTGTAAATTTGCTTGTGATTTGTAATATTCTCATCAATGTCATTGATTTATGACAAAAAGGGTTGGCCCCAATATGGAACCTTATGGTACCCTCACTCACTACATTTCTTCAGTCAAATTCATTTCCATTTATTTTATACTCCAAAGCTATGGATTTTCACTGTGCATATGAGATAATTAAGAACAGTTCAGTCACTTTATATGGCTCTGGATAGGAAATGATTCGATCTTTATTCTAGGGATTACATGGCTGTGAATGACATCTAGTTCCAGCATGTGGTAAATTAAGACCTTAATTCCAACTGTGTAGCTAGTATATCATAATTACTGGGTAATATATAAATTAAATGTTTATCTAGATAATTTTAAGGTAATGACAATACCCCAAAACAACCAAAGATACTTTAATAAAATCTAATACTGTAAACTTTGTGGTATCTTTTCCTAACTAACAGTCCTCAGTGCAGTTACAACCAATACTAATGGCTGGTTTAACACCTGCCCTCCTCACACTTTGACAATTATTTTGACAATTATAGTACAGAAATACAAACAAAATGATATAATTTTTAGTTATTAAAGTACTGTATGCATGATGTGTAGTACTACACATCACAGGAATCTTGTATTAATCAGCAGGTAATGAACCTAACTCATGGCTCTTATGGACTGATTACGTTTGCTCAGGCTGAAAAGACATGGAGTGATTGTGGTCCCAAATACATGAGGCAATAATATATTGTAACTATTAAGATAGGCTATTAATAAGTATCACAGAGTAAAGGCACCAGTATGTTAATGATCATCCATTATGTGCTGAGTACACAAAATTAAGTGTATACCTTGGAATAATTGTTCCTGAAAGTAAACAATAACACGTAAAGATAGTTGTATGCACATCTGCTCCACCAGACCATGTCTTCAAAAATTTGATTTAAATTAGGTATACAAAATACATTAAGGTCAATGTTCTAAATTCATTTGTTCATTTGAAACTATAGCATACAAATCTTTACAGATTCTTTACTATGATATTTTCAGTTCAGTTTAATTTCATAGTTTTTTTTATAAAAAAAAAAAAAATACTTATGAGAAAATCTGTAGGAGCCGTGATGATTTGAACCTCTGCTCTGGGTGTTCCCAGGCAGACACTTTAGACAACCAGGCCACAACATGGTATAGTGTAAGGATTGCAACCTGAAGTTCTAGTGAACTGATTGTTATTGCAGCTAAATAAATGTGCGTGCCAAACTGTAATATTATATAAAACAACTAGATTTTGTTTTATTACAGGTCATTCTCTCAGATCATCTGTCTCCTACACAAAACTGAATGTTTACCATGCCAATACTATATGGAAATATTTAAATGTTGCTCACCTTTCACACACATTACACACATTTGTACAAGTTTGAGTTTTGTTTAATATAATCTACAAAGCTGTAGATACAGAGTACAATATTTAAAATTGGTAGAAATGGCCTGAGTTAGTATAGAGGTTTGACTCAACACTGTCATGGGTTGTTGGGAAAGGTTTGACTCAACACTGTCATGGGTGGTTGGGAAAGGTTTGACTCAACACTGTCATGGGTGGTTGAGAAAGGTTTGACTCAACACTGTCATGGGTGGTTGGGAAAGGTTTGACTCAACACTGTCATGGGTGGTTGGGAAAGGTTTGACTCAACACTGTCATGGGTGGTTGGGAAAGGTTTGACTCAACACTGTCATGGGTGGTTGGGAAAGGTTTGACTCAACACTGTCATGGGTGGTTGGGAAAGGTTTGACTCAACACTGTCATGGGTGGTTGGGAGAGGTTTGACTCAACACTGTCATGGGTGGTTGGGAAAGGTTTGACTCAACACTGTCATGGGTGGTTGGGAAAGGTTTGAGCCAGAACTGTCATGGATGGGATGAGAGATTTGACACAACATTGTCCTGAATGATCAGCAAGAGATATGACATGTTTTGTGTGGTTAACAAGACATGATGCATAATATTGCATTTTTATAATTACCGTAGTACCTTCTATCATTTAGATGGACTATTTTTTACTGAAAGTGTTATAGAGAGGTTATAGGTTGCTTGTCTGTCTCTACATTGTCATACAGACTTTCACGGTCATGAGATGTGCAGTCCTGCTCCTCTACTGATGGCAGCAAAGACGAATGGAGAACATTGGCAGGTGGTTGGAATATAATATCAGGTGAACTTGTGTTCAGGTTGAATAATTGTACCATTTTTTTAATGTCAATAATTACAGGATTCACTTAAGAAAATCTACTATCATTGAGAGCACGCATGTGTGTAACACCATATTAGCCCGATTTACATTACACACAACTTCATTTACTTGTCGTCAAAGTTACGTTTCCTTTGGTAGTTTTCAGGATACTTATTATGCATGATCAAAAATTTTCACTAAATCATTAAATAAGCAAATTTTACAGCTTTTCTATATTTAAAAATTATAATTTGCTGACACTGATGAATGATTGAATAACCATTCACCCAGTAGTGGTTAGGCAACTGGAGAGCCATATTCTTCCTGTGTGAATTATGAAATCTGTAGAAATATTGAACAGAAGAACATAGTATTGAAGTGTTGCTCTATGGCAAACGTCAAGCATGATACATCTATAGGAACTTTTCAGCATGTACAAGACATTGAATCATTAAGGTCAGATTGTCACAATTTTTTTATTTGTTTTATTAAACAGTAAAACAATATGTGTCTGTTGAGAATTGTGACTGGCGACTTCTTAAACTTGAAGACATTATTGTAAATTTTTCATAATATTTTAAACTTAGTAAAATTATAGGGTGACATTTCATCACATGAAAAGTTGTCTTTTATTAACAAATACTTTATCATTATTAATAATAAGTTAAAATATCATTAATATAAATTACATTCATTGGTAATGTAAGTTTCAACATCACTGAACACAGGGTTAATATACATGAACACTATTCCATATATATTTCCAACATTACGTCTAACTAGAGATGTGTCCATTCTTCCTCTGGACTGTCATCTGCGGATCCACTTTCATTTTCTTGATACAAGTCAGGAGAAGGTTTTCTCATACTACTTACTTTACCTACTGTAGCATAAATCTCTTGCTTGTCTGTCTCTACATTGTCATACAGACTTTCACGGTCATAAGATGTGCAGTCCTGCTCCTCTACTGATGGCAGCAAAGACGAATGGGGAACATTGGCAGGTGGTTGGAATATAATATCAGGTGACTGCTGCTGGATATCTACTGGAAGTTGGTTTGAGAGGTGGACTGGAATGGACACCTGCTCATAATTATTGGTAATGGGAGGTGGTGGTACCTGTCCATCTCCCTGATTTGAGGTTAGCACCCGAAACACCTGTAAGGAAAAGTCCTCATAAGGCAAGCTCAAAATGATACATCTTTTTAAGTCATTGTGTGGTAAAATCTACTTTGTAACTTTAACCTCCCTGCCCTTTGGACATGTTAAATTTTACACCCCTGTGGTGCACTGGAACAATTATCCTGAAAATTTCTACATTGTTAATTAGCATCCAGGAAGCACAAAAATCCAAGTAAAAAGTCTCTACCTCTTGTGGTTTAGCTGTAGGAGCCCAGAGAAGTTGCATTTATTTTGGCACAAATGAGGTGAGGTGCCACACAGGAATAACTGTTTTTATTGAAAAAGTTTTTTGTTCTAACATGTTGTATTGATGTGTCAAGCGTTATGTTCATTATGTATAACTTTGAAAATATATGTGTACAGATATATTTACCTGAAGGCCACTAACAAACTCAAAATTCAAAAATTCAAAACTCAAATATTTATTCAGGTAAAGTACATACATACAAGGAGTGATACAAACATTGATGGATTTATAGATAAGAGCTAGAACATACAATGCCTAAAGCCACTACTACGCAAAGCGTTTTGGGCAGGAAAAGCACTAGACTAAAACTTAATACTAATTGAGATTAAAGTATAAATTGTGTTTAGAAAATATAAAAATAAAAAAGGGGGAAACATGGCAGAAAAATAGCAAATATTAAATTTGGTCAACAAACAGCATTATTTAAAATAGCAGACAGTGGGTTGACATTAAGGGGTAAGGTAGGTTACAGGGAGTTCATTAGGTAGTGCTTAGTTTTTATCTTAAACTGGTTGGTTGGGAGGTTGGGAGAGGTACAGTCTTTAACATGATTGGGAAGGTCATTCCACATTCTGCGGTCCCTTGATTTGTAGAGCATTTCTAGTTTAAGTCGTACTCTTGGAATATCAAATAGGTATTTGCTTCTGATGTGATGCTCATGGGTTCTGTTACAACCTTCTAGGAAGCTTTTAAGGACAGGATTGACATTACAGTTCAGTGTTTTATATATACATAATACACATGAGAGGATGTGCAGAGACTTAATATCTAACATATTCAGAGATTTGAGTAAGGGTACCGAGTGATGTCTGGGGCCAGGGTTGGATATTGTCCTAATAGCAGCTTTGTGTTGAGTAATTAGAGGACTTAAATGATTTCGGGTAGTAGAACCCCAAGCATAAATACCATAGTTGAGGTAAGGATAGAACTAGTGGCCTTGATGAAGACTGGAAGCCGGATGCTTTTCAAAGGGTCCCTCCCATTTGTCAAGATGATTTTTTCAAGCTGGATTTTAAAGTTCAGCAGTTTTTTTACATTTTCAGCTTTGGTGGGTAGGGGATTCCATGGGTTTATAACCCTGTGGGTGAAAATGCATCTCCTGCTTTCAGTCCTACACTGTGGCTTGTTGTAAGGGCATGAGCTTGTAAGCCATACCCGAGAGTACAGACTAATAAAACCCATCCTTACTTTCTTATAACCCTGTTAGATTGCCAAAACTCCCACACCCAAAGATCAACCCAATGATGTTTGGGTTGATATTTGGGTACATCGCAAATATTAGCAATGACGAGAGAGTAGATTGCAGGTGGGCTAGACTTAATGACACTGCGAACGACCCGAGAAACACAAGCCATGGAACAGGGAACCAAGGACACCGAATCCATGCACAAAGCATCCACCAAGGCAGAATCGGTGGTACGAAAGAAGCGGCACATGATGCACCCCTGGCTGAACTAACCAAGCATTAATAATAAGAGGACCCCTCCAGAAGCCTGCTGACTCATTCTTTGCCAGAGAAGGAGGTGGCTGCAAATGAACTAACACCCACTAGGGCCAAAAGAACAAAAGCATGAAGAACTGAACTTCATGAACTAAAGGACTGGAGAAGAGCATGAAACTCCCCAACCTGACAACCAGCGATAAGGACTACCAAGAAAAGGCTTAGAAAAATAATTCCTCCCAGGTATATCATACAAGCTAATTTGTCCAACTCCTACATTCATCCATACAGTACTATATCTTAATTTACTATGAATATTACACAGACTGCTCTTTACACTTTATGTTATAAATAAACTTGCCTCATTTAATGTTGTCTGTGATACATCATATTCTGTGACTCCCATTGACCTTGCAGTGTTGAGTGTGTCAAAGATGAGTCGAAGTGGTAGCTGACGACTCACTTCTGCCACAATAGTCAAGTGATGCTGCTCCTGAAACATTCATTGGTTGGTCAGGTAATTACCAAAATATTTTACTATTGTTACGACCCTGGGATCCTTAGTTGGAAACCAGAGGTCAAATTGAGCTCTAAATAATTACTTTACATTAATTCATAGAATTGGATCATGTGAGAAGGATAGTCAATTACAATAACAATTACATGCAGATACCTTCTGCAGTATCCCCGTCATCCTTGCCAAACGTAAGATGAATATTGTTTCTCACAGAACATTCAGACTCTGAGCTTGTTGTTGATTAAATAGTGAACTAGTTATCAGCTATGTTTAGAAATGATGTAAGTAACTAGTAAAGTAGGTCTGAGTAAACTTGGAATGATGGCTGCTGTACGATTAGCTAAGAATCTGGCCGGCAGCGATCAGAGGAGGGAGCACAGAGAGGCTGCCTTTCTCTTCTCTGGTCTGGCTGTGTTTGTGGCAGCATCTTCCCTGTGTGGCTTTGTCTCCATCCTCCTTCTCCCTTTCCCTTACCTTAGTCTACAGTGATTCTCTAAGTTAAGTATAACCCTGTGTACCGGTCTCTGGCAAAAGTTGTAGTTATCGAGTAGTCTAAGCCAGTGTTTTGGCATCACTAAGTGTACTCCATAGTGAGTAGTGTACCACGTGGGTCATTACATACCCTAGCTGCTCGAAGCCTTTGAGTGCTACTCTTCAAGTAGATGTTACCCTAGTTTTGTCCAAGTGTAAGCCTTGTATCCTGTCTATGTGGACCAAGGTAGTTAACGTAAGATAGTGTGGTAAAGCAGTTATTGTTGTTATAGTAATGTATATGGGGGGGTGGGTTGTTAGAGGGTTTAATAAATAAGTTAGTTTTTGAGGTGTATCCATTAATCCTGTTGTAGTGGTGTAGATGATTGTATCCTAGACAGCAGATCTGTTTCTAAAACCTTGAAGCATTAACAGGAACCTATATTCCTTGGGGGGCCGGACCTATCTACTCCACTATTCTTCATACATCTTGATTCTAGCTGTTTGCTATTCTCATTAATACTCTATACACCCAATAACAAGTAAGCAAATTCATAAAAAGTGATTGGGCTGACCGGGAGGAACTTTTTAATTGAAAAAATATTAGATTTTTGAGTGCCAAAACTAAAATTCTTGCTTTCCGCAGAACGGTTGTGTGGTAGCCTAGGGTCCAGCTCAACTAGCAAAGGATACATCTTGTATTGACTGGGCACCCAGCTGGATCTCTTTACAATTGAGGTGAGTGTGACCTTGTGACAGGGGCCGCTTTAAATAATCGCCAAAAATCAGGTTTTTATCCTATTTTTTTTGGGACTGGTTTTAAAATGCGCGCCGATGTCTTCCCATTTTCCTTGTTGAGCCTCGTGGCCCTCAGGTGGCTTGGCACATGCCGTGGGCCCATTGCTTTCGCTCCACTGTTGTGACCAATGTCGCCTCCCCTTCCATCTCAAACGTGTGAACATTTCGCCTATTTTCCGTGGCTATATTTCTTACTGCGGCTTTAGAAACTATCTACGCTTACTCCACGATGGATAGTGATCATGAACAAGGCCCTTCCAGGAAGAAAATTGCGAAAGAAAGGCTTAAAAAGGGCGGGAATTGGGAGTGTAGGTGGAAGGCGGCTGAGAACTCACTCGCGGCTAACGCGTGGCCCGTCTTCAACTCGTCAGCGGTTGGAGCGTGACCAGGTTTTTTATTTGATATGCTAATGTTCCTCTAGAGAATTCTATTGCGAACCCATTGAGACCAAAATGAAAGACCTAGGATAAAAATTGAGGTGACCAGAGTGAAAATAGTGAAAACATTTTATCGCGTTTGCGCGCTCCTGGGTAACTCGTTCGCACTTTCTCTGTTTGCTGCGGGTAATTAGCCGGGCTTTTGGAGTTTATATGCATTTAGTGCTGTAGAGAATTATATTGCGAACACAATGATACCAAACTTAATCTCGTAGGACGAGAATTAAGGTGACAAAGTTGAAGAGAGTATACACTTTTCAGATTTTACGCACACTCCCGTGACACCCTGGGTCCCATATCGCACAGTTGAGGGGTGGCGAGCGGGGTGCACCAAAGTGTTAAATTATGAGGAACGTCATGATTATTTTCTTTAATATTGTACAGTAATAATAAAGTCAACTGAAATCAACACATCTCACCTTGAGCAAAACATCTGCAAGTTGACTGCACAAGAAGTCAAGAACACACTCCATATCTTCAATATCATTTGTTTTCAGTCGTATTGTGTATTTGTCGCCTAGTCTGTAATGAGTTATAAAAAATTGATCAAGAGCATGACTGTCATACAGCTGAAAAATACACTGCCATATTTTACAACATTTTTAGTACTGTATACAAAACAGTTTGCACATACTGTATACACTAGTGCAATAATGGCCAACACATCTTTGTCACAGCAAACACTCAATCCCTGCCTAATTTTAAAGAGAACTATGATGAGTTGCATAACCTCAGAACATAGTTGCTGCTGTGACCTCTAAACACTGCTTTCAAGCCAGACCTTAAGCACAGGATTCAAAGATCCAAAACAGTGATTTCATATCAAATTGAACTTAAAATCTGGTCCAACTACTGGTTGCACACTGCACAGCAGTCAACCAGGTTGTGAGGTGACTGGGGTGTGGGTGGTGATGCTGCCGGGTACTGGTCAATGTAAATAGACAAGCTGGCCAACTGATTGTTACCCAGAACCCTGCAGGAACATATAAACATTGTGGTACCAGCTCCAGTAAGTTGTCTTGCCTGATTAAATAATAGTCCTTTGGACACAGCAGAATCTTATTTTTGAGAATAGTAGCAGGAAACTGCTCAGACATAGACTAAAATCATTGAAGGACAATAAAAGACATTAAATAATTAACCTTTTAAATACAATATTTCAGGACTTACTTGTATTTCAGATAATGAGGTGACCCAATACAGATAAACTGTCCATTGACCATTATAGCCATTCTGTGAGAAAGCTGATTGACTTCATCCATGGAATGTGATGTGAGTAACACTGTGCGGCCATCATCGGTCACACTCCGTATTGCTCGCCAGGCTAAGCGGCGAGAGGCTGGGTCCATTCCTCTATGAAATTAAATAATAATATAATAATCATAATTAATATTTAAGCAAGAGTATATTCATATGAGAAGAATGAAAGGAAATGATGAATCAGCTAGACGTGATCTGATATTCACCCTGAATGAGTCAAGACATAAAGGAAGTCAAATTAGAAGCCCCAAGGGACTGAGTGACTACTGTGTACTGATATTTGAGTATCTGGTGGAAGTAGGGATACCCAACCTAAGAAAGAGACTGGAAAGCCATATTGAAGGGAAAACTATGATGAGATGAGAAAATTCCTTACAGGAATAGCATGGGGAAACAGAACCCAGAGAAACGTTTGTACAAGACATGATGGATTACATCACCCAGAAGTGTCAGATACATTTATCCAAGCCCAAAAGGAAAACAAATGAAAACTTAAGAGGAATTTGTGGTTTAATTGAACATGTAAAGAAGTAAGGCAAATAAATACAAAGGTATGTAGGGAGTACAGAAATGATAGACCACCAGAAGGGCAGAAATAAGTGCTGTACCTCAGAGTGAGAACAGATGTGGAGAGAGTATGAAAATGACATATCAAAGAAAGCCATGACTAAACCAAAATTGCTCCACAGCCACATCAGAAGGAACATAGCAGTGAAAGAACAGGTGATGATACTGAAAAAGAGGGAGGACAGGTACATGGAGAACGACAAGGTGGTGTGTGAAGAACTCAAGAGATTCCAGGAGATTTTCACAATACAGTAAGGAGAAGTCCCTAAACTAATGAGAGGTAGCAATAAACCAGGCAGCTTGAAAATTTTTAAAATTACCACAGATGAGTTTTGGAGGCATCTGCTGGATCTGCATATGACAAAAGGGTGTTGGACCTGACTATCTCAACATAGATACCAAAAAGAGAGCGCAGAAGTACTTATGGTGTATATGGCGTGGTCTATTGTATATGGTGTATAAGAAGTTACTGGAAACAGGAGACCTACCAGATAACTGGAAGACGGCTAATGTAGTCCCAATATACAAAAAGGGTGACATAGGCAAGAGGCACTGAACTACAGACCAGTGTCCCTAACTTGTCTACCATGCAAGGTGATGGTGAAGACCGTGAGAAAAAACCTTGTAGCACATCTGGAGAGAAGGGACTTTGTACTACCACCAACATGGGTTCAGGGATGGCAAATCATGCCTTACAGGTTTAATGAAATTCTATGACCAGAAGACAAAATTAAGCAAGAAAGAGAAGGTTGGGCAGACTGCATTTTTTTGGACTGTCAGAAAGCTTTTGACATGACTATGTGCTCCTCTATGTCTAGTTTTGATGTTTTGGATATTTCCATGTATAGTCAACCTCACAGGTTGCTCCAGTTTTAGTCCAGGACTTTGCATACTTTAATTAATTTTGTTATATGTTTACTCAGGTACTTGAGGTAACTGTACCTTAACTAAATCCTTTGTCTTGCTTGCCTTTATTTTATATCGTGTCTTGCATGATTGTCTCTTGTTGCCACAAGTGTTTCCAATCCTGGCTTTGTGCCTCAACATATGGTTTTAGTCCCGACAAAAATATTTAAACTTTCTCATCTCTACACCATCCTAGGACAGGATGCCAGTTAGTTTCCAGCTATATGTGAATACAAATGTGTTCACCAAGTTGTGCTTGTGGGGGTTGAGCTCTGCCTCTTTTGGCCCCCTTCTCAACTGTCAATCCATCAATTCCCCCCCCCCACCCCACACACACACACACACACACAGTATGTGTGTGTGTGTGTGTATGTGCCGGTGGCCGAGCGGACAGCACGCTGGACACGTGATCCTGTGGTCCTGGGTTCGATCCCAGGCCCTGGCGAAAAACGATGGGCAGAGTTTCTTTCACCCTATGCCCCTGTTACCTAGCAGTAAACAGGTACCTGGGAGTTAGTCAGCTGTCACGGGCTGCTTCCTGGGGTGTGTGTGTGTGGTGTGGAAAAAAAATAGTAGTAGAAACAGTTGATTGACAGTTGAGAGGCGGGCCGAAAGAGCAGAGCTCAACCCCCGCAAGCACAACTAGGTGAATACACACACACACACACCCACCCACCCACCTAGACAGCAGCCCATGACAGCTGTCTAATTCCCAGGTACCTATTTACTGCTAGGTGAATAGAGGCATCAGAATGAAAGAAACTCTACCCATTTGTTTCCGCCAATGTCGGGGATTGATCCTTGTACCCTGGATTACAAATACCGAGCACTGTCCACTCAGCCACCAGGCCCTCAAGACAATAAATGTGTTGTCCCTGCTCTGCACACTCCTCTGTCCTTGGCTACATGTGCTTTTGCATGTATAGCATTGTCCTGCATCTCCACCTTCTCTATTTCCAGCTTCACATGATTATATACCATTGTGGCTGCCAACATGCACACCATTCCTGGCTTTGTACATTTTTCACATGCATGGGTCCCATCTCCCCATTCTCTATGTTCTTGGCTTCACATATCATTCCTGTAACATGCACACATTAGAAAGAATTTTTTTCAGTGTCAGGGTAGTTAACAAATACACCCACTCCAGCTCTACCCCTGCTGTCTCTTTGCTTCCATGTCCATCAGTGAGTCATATGAATGACAACTTCATGTTACCCCAAGATACATCATCCAGGTCTACACCACCCCATAATAATAATAATAATAATATAATTAAGATTTCAACTTAGATTCAACAGAGCAGAAGAAGTTGTTAAACACATATGGCAAAATCTTACTGAAGCGACCATACGAGTCATAAATACTCATACTCCGCCCTAGTAAAACAGAAACAAGCAACACTTAGTGGGCCAGCCAGAGGCTTAGGGTCTGTGCAGGAATATCCCTGAAAAAAAAACACCCCCCCATAGAGGCACAATGCTCCAACAATCATACAAAATATCATTTAGGGGTAGGTATTTACTCTGTAAATACATCTAACTTCTCCACCAGTTAACATTGTCCAATATTTATCTTAAATATTCCCAGTAGCTTGAAGTAATTTCTAACTTTTCAATATACAAACAAGAGAGTAGGAATACTGACGTGGTGGGCTCATCTAGCAGTACCAACAATGGATTGGCCAGAAGTGCCAGGGCTGTGGACAACTTCCTCTTGGTACCACCAGACAATTGATGTATGTATGTGTTGTCTTCCCCACTCAGTCCCAGCTGCTCTATGACTCGCTCCAACACCTGGAATTATGGTTTTGCTCGTTCAATATGGCAATATCGTACAAAGGCAATATGTAATTACACGTAGCACCAAAAAATATAATCCCAAATACTCAAGTAATAATGATGCATTAGTTGATGTACAAGTTTTATATTTTTACACTGAAGTAAAATACAGTAATAAAATTTTTATTGAATTACTGTATATGGTAAGGCAAAGGATTTTCTTTGCAAGAACACAAATAGAAATTAGGGGGAACATCAATAATAATGGTGAGGGTGAGAAAATGAAGTAGATTAAAAAGTGGTACTAAATAAGAGTGCGATCACTGCACCTAGTTTATATAAGTTATGATGTATTGCGATCACTGCACCTAGTTTATATAAGTTATGATGTATTTTACTGAAACAACATACCATGAAGAGCAAAGACACCCATACCTGATAGTTGTAACACAATGTAAAATACATAAAAAATATCAGTGATTCCAACACTTACCACAGTAGTTTCTCTGCTGGAGAAGCCTCTGATGAGTGCCATTATAGATAATGCCTCTCTTGCTGTCAGATTGGGGTCAAGGGCATGACTTTGTGGACAATAGCCCATAATAGGATAAGGTAAGGCCAGTGCCTCTTCTAGGACCAAGCCATTCACCAGAATCTGTCCTCTAGTAGGTCGCAGGTCACCCGTCAAACAGCGAAAAGTTGTTGTCTTGCCAGCCCCATTTAGCCCAAGCAAACTGAAACACTGGAGGCATACATTACATTGCTATTATGGGAAATTACCATTAATAGACAAAATATAAGAAAACCCTAAGATACTAATCCAACTCCCTCTCCCCCCCCCCCAATGACCAGCCCATTATCGGTGTGAGGGGGGCTTGGTGGGCAGCTGCCAGTCTTATGCTTGATAGGATGGCCTTTCAGCTGTCCCTTTTGAGCCTTGTCCTCCTGCAGCTTTTTTTTTACTCATTTTGCTGGACACTGGTTTCTCCCTCAAGTTTCTTTGTTTTCTCTCCACTACTTCTACTTTCTGGGTGAGGCATCCTGACAACCAAGTTCTGATACTGAATATTCTTTTGTTTGACTTCTTGTGTTCTGATAGAGGGAGAATTGAGATGGCATTCCCTCTCGTCCGTAGAACTGAAGTATCAGACGTATTCAAGCGAGGGGAAGCTCTCCTTGTTTGAAATGGTTTCCTTTGGACCTCTGCTTTTTCAGTTCGTCATTCCTCTGCAGCCTATATCTTTGAGTAAATTGTACACAGTCTCTTCAAAATTATCTCTCCCCACATACTCTACTTTTTCTTCCTGATCTTGAATACCTGTTGGACTCATTACCAGAACCCATGCAACTTTTGGGAGATTTTAACTGGTGGCATGCTCTCCAGGGCAATGATCTGACAAATACCCAATGCTGCCTTCTCGAACCTTTTGTTCTCTCTTCTTCACTATCTCCCTTAAATTCTGGCAAACCTACTCATGTTACCTCGCACCTTCACACCCTATCCTGTCTTGATCTTCCTCTCTGCTCCTCTTCTTATTAAATAGACATGACATGGAAGGCTCTTGATGACCTCCACAACAGTGACCATTTCTCCATCCTAGTAACTTTTTTTTCTTTTTGCCCTGCTCTTTTATTCCCTTGGTGGTAGTTTGAAAAAGGCTGACTGGAGTTTATTCACTCTCCCTGCTACTCTTACTGACCAGTCTTGCCTGCCTCTTCCTCAAGCCCTCCTCCTCTTTTATGACACCTTACTCAAAGCTGCCCTCCGTACTATTACTCGCTATTCCTCCAGTAGCATGCAGAAGAGGAGTGTTCTCTGTGTGGAATTCTGACTGTGCTTGGGCTGTACTGTAAGCATGCAGCCTGGAAAAGATGCTGATGCCGACAAACACCTGATTATTTAATTTTGTTTAGGAAGCCAAGTGCAGTGGCTTGTAGGACCACTGCATTTGGCATGGCTGTTATGTCACCACCATTATGGTTGATACCCCTCTCACTCAGATCTGGATGAAAATCCATAAGATTGCAGGTAAATTTATTCCAGACATCTCCTGTACATCCTCCATGGTTCCATTGTGGCAGATCTGGTGTTGGTCACAAACCAACTGGGTTCACTCTTTTCAACAGGTTAAGTCCAGTACTCATTCTCCTCCTACTTTCCTTACTTGTAAATCCCTTATTGAATCCTGCCCCTTAGACTTTAGCACCCACCAACCGCTTCCCTGTAATGATCTTTTCTTTCTGAACTCGTTTCCCTTGATTCTCGGCAGTTATATGACAGCAGGCTCAGATGGCATTCATTATGAGATACTCCGTCATCTGCCCTAATGCACTTTTCAGTATTTGCTGAATATCTATAACCATATTTGGGAGATGCCATCAGTCCCTGAAGACTGGCTTGAGGCAGTTGTTCTTATTAAGAAATCCTGTACTTAAGGAACTTCCTCTTAGGGTTTTTGCCATATTGCCCTGATTAGTTCCATTTGTAAACTTTTTGAACGTATAGTCAATGTTAATCTGATGTGGTTCTTGGAACACTATCTACACCTCTTTTCCTCCTCTCAATTCTCAAGAGTGGTACAGTAGCACAACTGATGGTTTAGTGGACTTGAAGTTCTACCTTCATACTGCCTCCATTGTTGCAGTTCTTTTTGACTTGGAAAATGCTTATGACACCACCTAGAGACACAATATTTTCAGCCCGCCTCCTGTTTTGGAAGTACTTATAGTAACGATGAGGACTATAGTATATATACAGATGTACAACAAAATTAAAAAGTAGAAATCAGCACTATTGAGTTAGACAAACCGGAAAAATATTTTCAGCTTATGTTGCAAACACAAACGAAACATACCTAACCTAACCTTCCTAGGCCTAATACGATATCTGAGGCCCAATGTAATATATATGTGTACTATGCTAGGCCTAGGAATATTTTAGTATGTTTTTAGTTTCATTTTTCAGACTCTATAACGTGAATAGTACAAAGTTCTACTATCTAATTGCTTAGAATGGCAATCTTTGTACTATGGTGCACATAGATACAAAAACTATCTAAACAAGGGAATGGGTTGAATATTTGTCCCTGCGCTCTTTTGGCCTTCGTGACAATCTCATTTTTCCTTCAATGATTTTCCTTTTCCTTTCCTTCAATGCTTTTTCCTTTTCCTTCTTCCTTTCTATTCATTTGTTTAAAGTGAGACTTAGTACCACTTTCTCTGACTTCTTTTGAAAATATGAAAGTGTTCCACAAGGTAGTGTTCTGAGCACTACTTTTTTCCTAGTTGTCCTAAATGATCTTCCTTCTTTTCTTTTCTTCCTTCTGGTATTTTCTCAGGCCTCTCTGTTGATGATTTTACTCTCTGCTGTCTAGGTAATGACTCATTTGTCCTCCAATTACAGCTTCAACTTGAGATTGATGCAGTGTCATCCTGGGCCACCAATCATGGCTTCAAGTTCTTTACAACTAAGACTTGTGCTGTAACTTTTACCCGGAAGAAAGTCATTCCTCTATACGTCTTGCGTACCAGTCTTCATAGATTATGTAACTCCTGTTCCTACAATTGTACATTACTCTTATGTATTTTGTACACACATTCTTTTGAATCAACATTTGTATTTGTTTTATTTGTACTCTTCGTCCACCATTGTCGCTCTATGGTAGTTCTCTTTTGTATAAAGATTCTGATAAATGTTTCGGATTGATCTTTGACTCCTGTTTGTCTTGATCACTTCATAGAGCATTCAACTCAAGAGGTAAGATATAAGACCCTTATCTTACTTAGTCTTGTTCCATACTTCCTGGGAAGCTGATACACACAATCCTCTACCTGTACTCCTATCTTGTGCTGTCTAAACTCTATTACTGCTCTCCAACCAACTGCTTTGGTTCTTCATTGTCTTGATGTTCTACATCATACTAGGTTATGCCTCGGTTCTGTTGCCTTTCATTCATCCAATACCCTGAGCCTGTATGCCAAAACTGGAGTCCTGTCTCTATAGGATCATCATGATTGTTATCGCCTTCACTACCTTGTGCAGGTAGTGACTTAGTGTCACTAGGATGCCCCCTGGAACCAGGACATCCCCTGGTTCTTTGGGGGCGTCCCTTCCGACGCTCTCGTGATCACTGTGTTCGGATTCCGGGAGCCTTGCGTCGGCTGCTGCGTCGCCGGCTTCCTCCGAGGGTTTTTTCGGGGTTTTATGCCCTGACGCCTCCCCGAGCCCTCGCTCGATGTGTTCACGGATGCCTCGTCTCTCAGCTGGGGTTTGGTTACATTCCCTGCAACTTCCTTACTCTTGCTTGTGTGTACTTTGACTGTTGCTCCTTATGTGGGCTCTCTTCCCAATTACCACCTTCCTTTTTCTGAATGAATGTGTCACTTGGAAGATTCCCTCTCAGTTCATGTTACCAATATCTCTAATGTCATTCCATCTTTGCCCCATAGAGTTGCAAGTTGGACCCACTTGCAAAGTTTTGCAAGACTTTGACCCACATGGTAAACACTTCTATCACTCCTACGGTTATGAAACTCCTTTTTGTTGAACACTTTTCTTCACACTCACACTCCAATGCCCTCTTCAGAGATGGGTCTAAGTCTGCCAATGGTGTAGGCTACTTTGTTGTTTTTCCTGATCAAACCTGTATGTGCTACCTGCCTCCTAAAACTAGCATCTTCACGGGTGAGCTTTATGCAGTCTTGCACGCACTTGGTCAACTGCTTTCCTGATACCAACATTCCTTTGCCATTGTGGTTGACTCCCACAGTGTCTGTCTGGAGATCTGGGACCCCCTGTCCCCCTCCTGGGGGAGGGGGGGGGGGGGGTTGCGCAGATGGATGCGGTGACGTCATGTTTGTTTCCTTGTTTTTAATTGGGGAGTTCTGTTTGCTAGTTCGGTTTTGGTTTGCAATTTTTGACCAGCAGTAGTTTGTTTTGAAATTCCTACCTTTCTGGATGCCTGACCTAGTAGATGGCAGACAAAGTCCGCTTCCAATTACACGGGGGTGTCTTTAGGCCATTGGTCCTCGTGCCTCTCTTAAGGAGGGCCAGGTTCTGGCTCTGGTCCCCGGTAGGCTTAGAACTCCTTCAATTGACTGTTGCCATGGTCTAATATATACACATCAGCCCGGTATAGCTCCAGGGAGCCTCCGGGTCTCACCCAGAAAATGGCATTTCATTACATTCAATACTAGTATTTTTTTCAGTAATTTGATTCAATAGTGTGTCATTTTGAGAAATTCATATAATAAAATGGATAATTTACCTGGATAAAATTTTACATGCATCATGTCATCTACATGCTAAGTCTGGCTAAGTTTCATGTAAATGCACTAAAAAGTACTGAGCTGAATATATAATGTCGTGTTTACATCATCCATCATTGGTATTGATGGATTAAGTCACAAAAAAAATTGTCACAAAAACACAACTGAAAACAAGTCATGCTTGTTTTCAGATAGGGGAGTTCTGCTTAGCAGTTCAGCTTTAGGTTATCCTGTTCACCAGTTGGGGTCTGTTTTGGGATGTCTACCTTTCTGGGTGCCTAACTCGGTAGATGGCAGACATAGAATGCTTCCAACCACACGGGGGTTTCTATAGGCCATTGCTCCTAGTGCCTCTCTGAGGGGGGGGCCAGATTCTGGCTCATGGTCCCTGGTAGGCTTAGAACTCCATTCGAATTGACTAATGCCACGGTCTAATACATACATATCATCCTGGTATAGCTCCAGGGAGTCAGAGGGACTCTCCACAAAAAGCTTCTGAAAACCAAACTTACCTCGCCCCGTCTGAGAGCTAAGAAGAGGTTACTGACAGCTGTTGTTGGAGGAGAGGTGAAGTCGCGTCCAAGACCCACCAGTCGCAGCACTGTGTCATAGAGTGAGGTTCCTCCACATTGGATCCTGCAGGGGATGATATAAAGTATTCACATTTTATGCAATTAACATACTGTAAGGGGTCCTTTTTTGGAAGAATATGTTAATGTTTACTCAACTGTGTAAGGAAAAGACATTTGGAATTCCCACCAGTGCAGTAGTGGCTGGTTCTGCACATGCTCAGTGCATTGTCACAGTGTGAGGATGTTCCCCCTCTAAAGAATATAAACATCAGTTCAACAAATTAAAATAGTCTCAATTACATTCAGTGATTGAAAATATGTAGAAAAATCAGTGTTAGATGTAGGAAACAAGTTAGGAACTCAATAAGACAAATAAATGAGTCAATTGGGCACACAATTTGAAAAGAAACATTATTGGAATGCAGTCAGATAGACAGAAAAGTGCGCCAGTGATCCATTCATTTGGCAGGTGGCGAGACGCTTAGGAGGACAACTGACGTTTGGTGGGATGCTCGGTGGTCTTCAATATTTAAAATAAGTGCCAGAACATTGTACAAAGTAGTGGTGCTTTTTATTTTAGTGTTAGGTGTAGGATGCATAGATACATTTAGGTTTGTATACTTGGGCAGCAGGTGTTCCTTTAAGCATATTTGGTTAAATATAACTGCATTGCTGGCATTGATGATCTTATAGTATAAGCTTTCTATGTTTCTAACTATTTTCTTACTCTCAAGATTAAGAAGAACAATCAAGTTACTGAAATTCATGATAAAGAATCTCTAATGATTATTGAAGGGTATATTTTTACAACATTTTGTTCCACTCTTGAATATCTTCAGGTAAGGAATGAATATACACGGTGCAAATTTATCTTAAATACACATGTGAAAGAGGTGACGCTGCTTGGGAGAGGAAGTAAGGTGAAGTAATCACACACAGGTGAAGAAATAGGGGATGGAAGAATAAAAGAAATGGGGATGGATGCCAATCAAACACTGGGTAAGGCAGTGGGCAGGGAGAGCTCGGTAGAGATGTCGTTATTTGGTGCTGTATGGTGAGGTCTGGATTTCAGTATAGGCAAGGTATCAAAGTCGTTACTCTGTATATTTAGGGGTGGGTCTATTTTCTTTTATGAGTATAGCTTCCAGTATTTGCAGTCTTCTCTGGTCAGTGGTGGATGCCAGGATTGTTGTATTTTCTACTAACATGTTCCTAGTGAGTGTTGTGTTATGTACACTTTGTATATGGTTTCTAGCGGCACCAGCTTGTAGATGGCAGGTCGATCTTTTCAAAAGTTTTGTGGTGGTCATACCAATATAAGTAGATCGAAGGTGACATCCATCATTAGGGCATGTAAATTGGTATACAACATTTGCTTTCTGGAGAGGGTTGTATTGTTTATTGGGGCTGTTCTTAAGTATACAAAACAGTGATTATACCAGAAGCAAGAGGGGCTGGTATGTTAATCCACATATGGTCCAGGGTTTTAGCAAATGTTGGGTGGGTTAGGTGACTGTGGGGATTAGCATACATGAGTTCATGCCATTAAGGAAGTAGTCGAGCTGGGGACTATTGTGTTGACAGAGGTCAATGTTGAAGTCACCTCCTAAAATGATGTGTTTTTGTTAAGTTTGTTATAATTAAATTCCTCAAATTGGGTTTGGTTAGCTTTTTTACTGCAGCTCCAACTTCTTGTGGAACTTTAAGTAAATGGTCAATTCTGACTCCAAAGTCCTTTTCTTTAATCTGCTGCAAGATAATATGTTAGTTGTGACATGCATTGTTATGCCCCACATGCAGGATGGGGGATGAGCTGCCACACGACGCCATACAATTAATATATTCAGTGCACGAAAAAGGCTACAATGTAGTTTATTATTATTAATTTTTTTTTTACACACTGACATGCATCTAAACTGATTGCCACATGTCATGGGTAAAAAAAATCCATACTTAATCCTCTCTGCTGCCACATCTTTCTCTTCTTCGGCCCCAGCCAGGTTCTTGGCAGGAGCTGCAGTCTTTGGTAATGCTCCTACGCAGTCTTGCCAACTGAGCAGTACCACTGTGCCTACCACTGTCCACAGGGCCAGGCTGAAGTAGTGTAGGCCCAGCCCACCCTGCATCTTGAGGTCCCATGAGAAGGGCGACACATACACATCCATTTCAAAACGAGCCATAACAGATGCCTGCATTGAAGATAAAATAATTTTTAGTATGTGACATATCACTGATACAGTATGTCAAATGTGTATTCAAGATGAGTTATGTCCACAAGCTGTCTCTGTTCCATGTGAGTATAAAAGGATCGAAGCTCAAGAATCAAGTACTGTAATTGAAAATGGCCTTGTAAAGATGATTAAATGGTACTAAAAGTCCAATTATATATAATGTATTGCCCAATACATTTATGCCAATCAAACTCATGTTTGGTATGATTTAAAGTAATAATAAATTTTGTACGAGATCAAGCAGGCTGCCACTTGTACGTCAGGCTGTGAGCAGCTGCATCAAACAGCCTGGTTGATCAGACCAGCAGCCAGGAGGCCTGGTCAGAGACTGGGCCTTGAGGACATTGATCCCTAGAATCTTCAACAGGTAGGAGGTAGTCATTGTGGGACACAAATCAGGGTTCGAAACCTAAGAGACCCAAGGTAAAGCTGTGCCAGGAGAGAAACAGTTGAGCATGTTTCCTCTTCATGCCTCTGTTCACCTAGCATAAAAAGGTACCTTGATGTTGGGCAATTGTTATGGGTTGCATCCTGGGAAAGGTCAGTACATAGTTAGCTTATGGAAACCATGATAAGTCTAAATACAGGCTTCCTGTCCCCAACGAACAGTAAATAAATTTGGGTACAATCGATCCATTTTGAAAAATTAATCTTCATATCTCATCGTTAAACCTTGGTAGTGTATGAGCCTTGTACATTTTGGCTATCAGTTCAAGTCATGTTACTCTTTAAAATTTTAGTTATACATAATTTATACATCATGGAAACCAATTTAAAATTGATCAGTTTTGTAGCAGAGGCCAACATTTGAGTGAATGTTTTATATAAATAATAGTGGACCATTGACACTTTAAAAGTCTAGTGACAGTGTCCTGAAATTTTAATTCCTAGTGTTATATCTGATTTACACTACTGTATTTGGAAAAGTTTTGAGGTGTAGACAGTCACCAATAAAATCAAAAGTAAAAACATGGTTTTACTATCATGTAAAGTAAATCATCATGTAAAGTTACTATCATGATTTTTACCATTATGTTTACATGGTTTTACAAGCCATGTAAACATAGTTTACATGGTTTACAGGTAAATGTGAACACTCTTAACATGGCCATCAAACAAATAAAGTAGTATCTGGATTTTATACTGTGATGGATGTCTGGAGACACTGTAAAACAAAATTGAATAAACTAATATCAAGCCCTTTATAAGTAGAATGCTTTCTTGGAAATCTTTGTTACACAAGGTAAAAATACTGCTCAGTAAAATAAAAACTTGTATTGATGCAACAAGGCAACAACATACTGTACCTGGTTGGGTTAAAGCAGTCTTTATAAGGAAATTTATTGACAAAAATGAAGCTTACAAGCAATATTTCTGTAAAACAACTACCAAAACATATTTTTCACCTTGCCTATAAAAGCCTATATTCTCATTTTTAGAAATGTACCGTTTAATTAATTTTGCTGGGGACAGGCAGCCTGTGCACATGTTAGGCTTGTATTAAGGTCCTCCCACCCCCTCCCCAGGATGCACAAGGAGCTGACTAACTCCTGGGTACCTATTTACTAGATGAACAGAGGCATTAGGTAAAAGTAAACATGCCAAACTATTTCTGTCCCGGTGGGATTCCTGTTTACGAGTCAAGAATGAATGCAAGTGTACTAACGAGCCCATTACCACTGTACATTTTGTATTTTTATAGTGCTTACAGTTTTGGAGATACAGTACTGTACTCAAAATTCTGACAATTTAGAACAAAATTTAATTTATAACATTAAACAGTCTCAACTGGGTTCCACACAATAAAATAATTATATTGAATATTGCTATGTAGAATTGGTATCAACTATACAGTGGTACCTTAGCTTACAAATTTAATCCATTCCCAGAGACGGTTCGTAACCCGAAAATTTGTAAACCGAAGCGATTTTCCCATAAGAAATAATGTAAATTGAATTAATCCATTCTACACTCCCAAAAATATTAACTTCAAAGTAAATTTTATACCTAATTCACCCAAAGCTTTAGTACTAAAGTATGTACAAGTTATTGCCTATCTTTATTGATGCCTCTTGTGGTGTATAGAAGACAGTGAGAAGGGGAGGGGGGGGGGGGAAGGAGAAGATGTGTTAGTGTTTGGAAGAGGAGTCCCTTTCCATTATAACATCAAGCAGTGATGACTTCTCTGGGGTACTCTCTTCTATGTTTTGCAGGAGTACCACTAGGACCTGCTTGCGGCTCGCTGCTTGCTTATCTTACTAAGAATCTGTCTAAAGACACGTTTTTCCCTACATTTTAACACTTGTCTGTAGTGAGACATCACATTGTCATTTAAAAGGTCAATCCACTGGCCTGCTACAGCTTTATCTGGGCGATTTAAAAAAAAAAAAACTTTGCAGTTCTTCCCATACTGCACACAATTTCTTAATGAGGAAGGGACATCTTCTACTCACAACTATTTTCTTATGTTGAACCTTACCACTGACTTTCTTGGGATCCATGGCGAGATATATAATCACTTTTATGTTCAAATACCCAAAAATCTAAAAAACACTGAAATTCTTTACAGAGAATTCAGGCGCAATTGTCACTAAGCGGGAGCCACTGATAAACTGAGGCGCGATCGCCATGCCACCATGCGCTCAGTCAGCCATACGCGAATCAACAAACTACAGTACGTTACCCCAAGGCAAAGTTCGTAACCCGATTCGGATTTTATGAAGAAATTGGGCTCGTAACCCGAAAAGTTCATAAAGAGGGACAATCGTAAGCCGAGGTGTCACTGTACTTAGTTTTCTCAAATCAGATTATAGCTATGAATATTTTAGAATAGGTACCAGAGATGCAATTATTGTATGTTGATGTATGCTACATCAACTCACTTTATTCATGTTGTATAAAAAATATAGAAAACACATGTAATAATAAAAGTAGCTTACCTTGGTGAAGCTAACAGCCAAGTCCTTGATACCAATAGCAAAGGCAAAAGGAGGAAACACCAGGAAGACATATTTGAGCACTCCTGCAATGTCATAAAGTATCTGGAAGAGTGGAGTAAAGGCATGGATATAGATTAGTTTACAGTATCACTAAAATGCATCTTTGTATATCCTTGCTGTTACAGTACTAATAATATTAACAACTATTTCTGTACAGTTGCTAAAACTACAGATTCTATAATGTAATCTATGCCTGTCATTATTAAGTATCACCTTCATATTGTAGATCATTTGTTATATTTCTTGAACATCTCAGGTGTTAGTCTGCTTCTCTTTTAGTATTAAGCATTTACCCATTTTACACATAAATCATTTTTATCTGAATTATTCAAGTTTTGCCAAAATCATTTGTGTAGTACAGTAGAAACTTCTTTAATGTGCAACCCCTGTAGCTTCATATATACCTCCGTCTTGTTTTCTTTGTATGCATATGTTTATGAATAAATAATAATAAGAATAATAATTTCTACAACATTCACAGAGATAAGCAATGAGTTTACAAAGTAGTATGTAGAACATATTATTTGAAATAACATCAATACGAAGGGCGTTTTTAAATATGGCTGAGTACTAATATTTAATTCTTTTCGTAAATGGGTATAGAAGCAGTGTACTTTGACAAAAATCCAAGCTACAATACTGGGTCTGAGAAGTGTCGAGGAATAGTTTACATGCCACAGTTAGAGAATAACTTAGTAAGCCTGCTAAAGGTCTAAGAATTAACCAGGTAAGAGCCATCAAAATGCTATAGCCATAAATGCGCTGTATGTAAAATGACTAAACACAGACATTAAGAAAATATATAACACATAAAATGACAGCAAGTCTTTGTTGTTCGCACAGGACACAGTCCTGAGATACTGGTGAATAACAAAACATTAATATTAATACAGCTCTTAAGAAGGCTTATGGAGAAAAGGATAAATTTGTACATACAGTATACAAAAATAACCATACTGTATTTTTAAAGTACTGTAGTAAATTATGTAAAAATATTAGAAATATGTGATACAGTACTGTATATGTAATTAACCAGGAGTAATTGCTGACGTATAGTTACAGGACGAGCGCTACAATCATGGAGTCATGTCATTACTAGAATGTTTGTTATGGCATTTTAAAGTTTCTGGACATTTTGATATACACTTTATTTTTATTTAATTCTATACATCTATCAGTGTTTCCAAAAGAGAATTTAAAAAAAAAAATTTGCATCTATATATTCTTAACTTAAACCTATGGCCACTTGTTCTCAATGTTGTTGATCTAAAATATTGTGAAGACATGGCGCATACAGTATATGCACCATTCATCTGCTGCATATTCTAATTTAGGTTTTGTGTATGTTATGAACAATTGTTTTAACATTGCTCTGTCCATGAAATTAAATACATATCTGAAATTTGCCATAGGAGCATAATCATGGGAACAATGAAATTGAAATTTTGAAAGAAAAATCAAGGCCTTCGGTGTGGGCAGCAGCAATTCCTGTGAGAAAGCAATCACTCAGTAGTATCATTCAACTGCATCTTGAGCTGGCTTCCTAGGGTCATTGAATGGCAGGCATAAGACATGCCTACTCTATCTTGCTGATATTACTCCATGCAAATAGGTCACATTAGATGCAAAAATTCTATTTAGAAACATGGTGATCCACACCCACAGGGGAAAGGAAGAGGAAACACAAATTTTGTCCAGGTAGAGGTCACCCACACTAATTCTGGGTCCCAAAACACCATAGGGGCCCAACTCTGGAGCATCCAACCAATCACAATGTTGAGAATGCCTAACCCTACCAAACCTAGTTTGCAAAGCAGCAGCTGCCTGGAAAGCTTGTACACCGAAAGCAGAATCGGTCAATGGAGACCACAAGGGAACAAATCTCAAAGGACTCAGGATTGTCGGTGTTATCGTTCCAACAGGTAGCATGGCGGGTGTAGAAAGGATTATCATCTGGTAGAAATGATGATGACCACCCTTCAAATTACCACCCCTTCAAACTACCACATGGCAAGTGTGTACTCGACGGGCCGAACAAACCGTGCCTAAGACCTGTGAGGGAATTACCAGGACCTGAAAGCAGCTAACCAAGCGGAGCACCCAGGCACTGAGGCCACTCACTGGAAGACAGATGCCAAACACATCCAAAACTAATGTGACCCATTTGTAATCTCAGCAAGATAGCTTCAGGGAGTCACTGGGGACGTCCCCAGAAATTACATTGCTCAAGAGATACAAAAGTATTCTAATGTATTTAGTACTAGGTTAAGTTAATTCACTAAGTAAATTTGATTATGGAAGTTAAATTATTATAAGCAGGACATAAAATGTATTAGTAAATACTGAATGATTAGTAACATTTGTCAAATCATGCAAGAGCCACCTTTACTCACGATCATTGAGGGTCCTAATTCATACTTCAGCTCCTGGTGGGTTGTAGAACAGTACATCAATAATATGAAAGCCCATACCTTGAAGCCATTCCCAACATTGTCAGTCATTTCTTAAGGTCATATGTCAGTCAATTATCAAGGCTGAGTGTCACACAGTTCATTTATTTATTTATTTATTTATTTATTTATATATATACAAGAAGGAAACAATGGATTTATGAGAGTATATAGCATTGATGTTTTGATATTCTTGTGAAACCACTAACACACATAGCATTTCGGGCAGGTCATTAATCTAACAGATAATTTTAAGTAGGTAATTTGTAGCAAATTTGAAAAAAGTTAACAGGTACATTGTAAGAAAATTTGAATAAAATTAGTAGGTACATTTTAGTAAAATTTGAGGATTATCAACAGGTACATTTGTAGCAGAATTTGAGGATTATTTGTTAGATGATATATTGTAGTAAAATTTGTGTTCAACATAACTACAGTCAATTATGAAGGCCAAGTGTCGCGCGGCCAGTCACCAAGGTAGAGTGTCACGCGGCCAACTGCCAAGGCCGAGTGTCGCGGGGTCGCGGCCGAGGCCAAGTGTCGCACGGTCAAGGCCGAGTGTCACGTGGCCAAAGTTCTTAGGCTGGATGTCAAAATACGCGAACAACGCCGCCGACCGGAGGGAGGGAAAGACGCCGGGGAGCCTCCGGGACTCACGCAGAAAATGGTGTTTCATTACATTCAACACTGGTTTTCTGGGGGGAGCCCTGTCGGCTCCCCTGAGCTACCTCACCACAGATAAGTAAAACAGGGAAGGAACCGAGAGGCGGATACCACGCGTCCTAACCGAACAACCAAAACCAGAGACAAAACAAAGACCAAAACGAGAAGAAAATAGACCACCCAGGCCAACAACTAGGATGGCACCAAAACTCAAGAGCAGGCCAGAGGGGAACAATGCCCAGGACAGCATGTGGAACGGAACAGAAGGAACCGCAACACTGAACGCAAGTAGAAGCGGTTCTGCCAGCACCACCCAATATGAGGTGACAGGACACGATCCTAGACGATAGGCCCGGAACAACCCCGAAGGGAAGACAAGCCAACCCTATCAAAGACCGAAGGACCCTTCGCAGTGATAGGAAAACCGGAAAGATCGCCAGGAAAACCACACACCGCCCCCGAGATGAAACACGCAGGTGGGAGACCAATAACGAACCCACCAGTGCCGACACAAACGACGAGAAACTAACACCACGATCGAAAGCGCAAAACGCGAATCGAAAAACAGCGACCCCGCAACCCAAAGGAGCAACATAACCAGCTCCAGCAGGAAAAACTGACGCACACATCCCTGAGGCATCCAAGAGGAGAACTACCCGGACGTGAACGGCAGGAAAGCAAACACACCCGGTCCGGAAAAAGGAACAAAGAAAAACCGGAACCAGGACCGGAACCCAGCAAAACCCGGTTCCAAGAAAAGGAACCAGGAAGGCAGGAGCGGCAGACCGAAAGTCCACACCCACCACAGACATCGCAACCTGAAGCCTGCGGGAAATCACACAAAATCGCAGGAACTCAGTACCAAAACGGAACATCGGAGAAGTTCAAAACCAGGGAACTGAATATGGACAGAGGCCCACCGGAGCACCAAACAGGATAGTCAAGAAGCACTGACCCAGATACACAAATAAGTGTAGCATGGGGGAGGAAAAACGGAAACAGGTAAGGAAAACCGTGAATACGGCCCAAGGAGCGGCCGGGAAGTAATGCACACGACCAACCACAAAATGTGGAGAGGAGCGCGGACATACCCGAGGGACCTCATGGACAGCAGGGTGCAGTCAGGCACCGAAGATAGGCAAGGAACGAGTGCCCAGATAGGGAAAAGACCCAGGGCTCGACAACAAAACTAAAAGCACCGAAATGCGGGGCAGAGCCCCACAGGACAACAAAGAACAAAAGACAGGGACAAAAAAGGCACTGAAGACACACGCAAGGTGACCAAACACACCACACCAAACACCCCTGTTAGGAGCCATCGACGCAATCCCGCCAAGCGGGGAAGAGTAAACAAGGATGGAGCAGAGAACAAGGGTGGCGGAGTGAGTAGAGTATCCTAATAAGATACTCGCTCTAAACGCATGAGCCTAACGAGAGAAGCAAAGCTCCACGTAGTACCAATGATGGAACTCAAACCGTTCCTTACTTCCAGGGAATATTCCTGCCAACCTTTGGAAAACGGTGCGGCGCATAAGCATATAACCAGCAGAGTAGCGAATAATAACTAGTCTACCGACAAGTGTGGTCTAGAACAGACACATGCGAGACACCGTACCGACTCTCAGTGCGCCCAACCCGCACCATTGCCCGCCAAAATATCACCCGCATACTACTGTAAACGCAACAAAAGATAGTTAGTCTCTTAGTGTTTGTGTTTATTGTCACTAATCTTCACAAAACAATAGAAACTGGGATAGTGGCAAATGCTACCCTTGCGGCACATTGTGGGCACGAAACAATGGGCATAAAAGGGATAAGCATACAATCAAGAAAGAGCGGAGGAATGACCAGCACAGTAACAGGCCAGGTGATTTGCGGAACCAATTACCACATAACGTGGTGGTGGTGGGGCCCCACGATTGGTGCAAGGGTGGGTTGGACATGTATATGAGTGGGAATGGGTGGTAAGAAACAGGAGCTGCCTCGCACGGGCTAATAGGCCCTCTGCAGTTCCTCTGTACTTATGTCCGGATGTCCGTACGCACAAGGGGACACAAGAGGAAGCTGAGCACCCAAATGAGCCACAGACACGAAAAAGAACCTGATCAATGTCAGAGGGGAAAGGAAGCGAAAGGCACCAAGAAGCTATGTGGTGGAAGCAGACTCTACCCACAGGAGCAAATGTAGAGAAGACAGAGCCCAGGAGGCTCAGGAAACTGCACAACCGTCAACTGACATGAGAGGCGGGGCCCAAGAGCCAGAGCTCAACCCCCGCAAGCACAACTAGGCAAGCACCCCACCAAGAAGTGAGAACCAGCACTAGGCCGACAGAGGCGCCAGACATGACAACCTCACCTGCAGAGCAGACACACGAACGTGCCACAACACAGGCGAGCCAAGTAACATACCAGGAGCAGCGCTAATGGTGTGCCTGAAAGCCATGCATACTCGAGGCAGTAGGCATAGTATGTACCGTTACCTAAATAAAATGCAGAAGTCGAAGGAGAAATACAGCCAGAGGCGCACGCCCCGCAGAAGACGGAGCAGTACAGAGGGGAAGGAGGCGGCACCACGCCAAACCATCCCACACCCGGAAGCAGAAGAAGAACGAAGTGACACCCCCAGATATAAATCCAAAACACCCTCAGTATCCAGAGGGCCACGACTGGAGGGAGAAAACGAGCAAGAAGCCGTAGAAAACCACGAGAAACGACGCGAACACACGAGCATACCGCCCATAAACAAAACGCACACCGCGGCCCCAGCACACGAGGTACGAAACGCCAGCACCCGTCCACCGGGAGGCGTGGCTTGTACACCAGGCGGACATACAGATTGTACACACAACGTACAGACACATCGTACAAACACCAGGAAGGCGTGCAGAACGACGACGAAGAACGCCGAAACTGGAAGTAGAGACGACGCAAAAACAAAACAAGGCAAAAACGAAGCAAAAGAAAACAGGTGACGGAAGGGAACCAATGAAGCCGAACAAAAGACTCTAGGGAAACCGCATCGAAAATCAACAGACGTTCCAATAATATTGGAAGGACGAAGAGACTCGCGAACCAACGAGAACCACAACAAGCACCCCTGATCAAGGAACATGCAGGGACAACGATACGAAGCTGTTTAGGCACTGTATGTACTAGGTCAATATATAAATCCATCAATGTTTGTTTCACACCTTGTATGGATGTACCTTACCTGAATACACATTTGATTTTTTTTTCCGAACAGTATCGCGAGGTAAGAGCGAAAAGGGTAAGGAAAAGGGGGGTGAAACACACCCCCAGGAACGACAGGACTGACGAACCCGAAGGAACACGGAACCGAAACCAGGGAGGGGTATACCCGAAAACAACAGGAACACAGAGGGAAGGAACAACCCCACTCTGAGGAACTGCCAGCCCCTCACCAAAAGTACAAACACCCTAAGGGGCAAACGGGGCATAAGCCCCCCAGGCAACCCCTCCCTAACCCCGGGAACCTCGACGGCATGACCCAGGGCCGAGCCACACCCCCAAAGCCACAGCGTGACAAGGAAAAGTCGAGGCAGCCGTGAAAACACTAATGAAAGGAGGCCACTGGTCAGACCCATATGGCACGGCTGGAGGAACAGACTCGAATTCCTCCGCCGCCACCCCGGAAGAGGAAAACCCCGGAGACCGCCCGAGTCTCAACCCAACCAGACCCCGCCCAAACCCCGAAACCCGCCTATGGTTCGGAGCAGGAAGCAAGGGAGGAAGTGTGTAGAACAGAAGGGGAAGGACAAGAAGCTGAAGGAGCCAGAGTCAAAGTGACCCCCACCCCCAAGTCCGGACCCCAACCACCAAAACGGGGCACCCTTGGCGCATCCTGGGCCGCAAACAACCAAGAGCGTTGCAGCAACCTACACCCAGTAAGCAAAGCCACTTCCGTCTGCACCCGATTATCATGACCAGTGGCCTGGATGAAGGAGAGCGCGTACCGACAACACTCGTCGGGCGACTCCGGGTCACAAGAAACAAGGACCCAACAGGCATCATGGCGGAGGCACAACCGGTGAGTGTCACCCTGAGACAGGGGGACAGATCAACCGTCAAACTCGCAGGATGTGAGAGGGACTCCGGGGACACATCTATAGGACCACGGAGCCCCCATGGGGTTTCCCAGGACCCTTAGCCGTTGGTACACGCTAAGGGAAGCCCAGGCAGGGTACCGTGAACAGGCGCCCAATTCTACCAACAAACTGCTAAAGCTGAACCCCTGGGACGTGTCCACTTACGGGGGCCAAGCAAGGAGTACCGCCAACAGAAGAATTCGAAAGAAAAATCACCTAGAACAAGAATGGGAGACCAAAAAAACAGACCCCCAACCAGGCAAAAACAAAAGAAAAAACCCGCAAGAGGACAACGTAC